CATTCTACACTGGGAATCACCTCACTTTTAAAACGCCAACCTCTCAAACACAATGTTATAGATCGCGATAAGATCGTGGTCCCTCCTAATTGGGACTCATGGGGCAAGATTCGGGTGTTGGTAGCTGCATTTGATGTCGAGGCAGTGTCTCAAGCCTGGGTTGAGGACATTGAGAGACGCTTTGACGAGGAGCCCCCGACCTTGGAAATAATCGAGGAGAACCGGGAAGCCCAGGAAGAAACCGCAGAACCTCTACAGACCGACAGTGCCATTGCCCGCTACGAGGATTGGTGCCAGGAGCCCAACAGCGGCGGCCTATCTGTCGTAGAAAACGCCATGAATAGCGGCAACAACGTCAACATCCACAGCGATGGGCCACAGGTATACCTCGAGTCTCAGCTGAAGATCCTCGAAGCCTTCAAGGCCAAGACACAACCCGAGAAGCCATCCAACTTCGACATTCTCCTGGCCACGGGCCGTGTTCCAGAGAGAGAGGCCGTCAGCGATCACATCGGCCCCGTGCAATTCAACGTGGGAGGCATCCAGGTAGACGCAGACGATATGCTGAGACGCCTCAAGGTATGCACCCCACCCCAGCTAATGAAAACCCTTAGGCTAAACTATTCTTCACCTTCAGGACCGAATCGACACCGATGCGCCCGAGGCAGACCAGGACCAAGAGTCTGTCGGGTCGGAACCTGCCCAGCCCAACGTCACAGAGAAGTACGACAACGAGCAGCTCCAGAGCTTCTTCAACGGCCTAATCAACCGCGAAAAGACGGCCAGCACACGAAATTAATCCTGCACCCCGCTTACCTATTTTCCCCAAAAAACCTTCCTATCTTCTTTCACTTTCCAAGCGCCGGCATATCACGGCTTCTGCCCCCTGACCTCTCTGGGCCCCTCAGCATTAGTAACCATCCTTGGGGACCTGAGAATATATAGCACAGGACAAGGAGCTGAGCGGGTGGTTTTTTTTCCCTCTGGATTTTCTTCTTCTTAAAAATTGTAACTATGCATTGTCGAGAGATGAATGGTGGAAGCTTGAGGGAGGGATGAGGCAGGGGTCGCTGTAGAATAGATACCCCTTGACGAGATACTTCTTTTTTTTCTTCCAAAAAAAAGGTTGATAAATTTTAAACGTACATAGATAGAACCCGAGCTGAAAAATTGAATAAGGCTGGATTCACACACAGAGCTGACCGTGGTGGTGATGATGGTGATAATCGGCGGTGCGTGAACCAGATTCCACCTCGCAATGCACGTAGCTTGAGTGAATGGTACGGCACATATTTAAGAGTGTATGTATTTATATTCATTTCATGGCATGAAAGAGGACAGGTGCGTAAGTCATCACGGATAGTAGAAAAGATAAGAAAGAAAAGACAGAAAAATATGCCACCTTGGATGAAAATAGATGGAAATCAATACTCTTCCCCTGGAACTCCCCATCTAAGAATAATGCAAGATGAAAGAAAAAGAACACATTTGAATCAACTCATGCGGCCTTGGTCCTCGTATCCTTGTACTTGACTTCGTGGCCACTCTTCTCGACGCCCAGCCTGGCGGTCACGACACCCAGCAGCAGACCGGGGAACAGCCAAGGGTGCTGCAGGATCTCGGCCTCGAATGCACCAACTGTCTCTCTTGCGAGGGCAGTATATTTGTCGTCCGCGAGCAAGTCACCAAGGCGGAACAAATTGGTGACAGAAACGGAATTAGTTGAAGGAAGGGAAGTGTCCATGCCGTCCTTGAGCCTAATAATTGTGTGAGGGGAGGAAGGAGTTGTGTAATAGAAGGCGCCAATAGGATCATAGAAGAGCGAGATTTGGGTTTCTGCCACCATGGTTAGATGATTTTTTGACTAAATTTTACTTCAATCCTGAAGGGGGCCGGGGATGACTTACTCTGAAGAACATCAGCAAACTCGAGGAGGCTCTCGTCGCCGGTAGCATCGAAGAGATCGACTAGACCGAAGATGACATAGGCGTAATCGTCAGCGAAAGCTTCTGTGGTGGATCTTCTGTCCTTCCATATCCTGTAGAGCACCCTTCCATCCCATAGCTGTTCCTTAATAAAAGCAGCAGTCTTCTTGGCTACACCAAGGTACCTTTCGGCCAGGTCCGGTCGTACAGACTTGAGCGCGCCGCCAGTTCTTGCTAGTGACGAGATAGCTAGACCATTGAATCCGGTGACGACTTTGTCATCGACCTCGGGTCTTATACGCTCCTTATCGCGCTTTTCCTTGAGGGCAGATGTAGCAGTCTTGATAAATTCCGCGACCGTCTCAACGGGGAGATTGAACTGTTTACCCAGATCCTCCGGTGTTCTGCGAATTCGGAGGATGTTCCTGTTGATAAAGTTGTCATTGGGGTCGTGATGTTCGTCCACATTGCCATCTTCAAGAACGTTGTAGTATGCTGCCGCTACCTCGCAGACCTGCTTGTCTGCATTGATAGCTGAGTCGAACTCTCGGCGAGTCCACAGGTAGTAGGCACCCTCCTGCATATCCTTATCCCCTCGCTTTTGATAGGAATCGGCAGCCTCACTGGAGGCGACACCCCCGTTGGGGAGGGCGATAGGGGGCGAAGTCAAGTAGTCAGCCAGCTCAAGCACAGTGTTAAAGAACTCGCCGTCTTCCTTTCCTGAGACATACAGCCATGCTTCCAGATACAGGGTTAGCAGCAATGAATTATCGACGACAAGCTTCTCAAAGTTGGGGATGCTCCAGTCTGGGGTGACAGAGCATCTCGCAAAACCTGTTCGGCCGACGTGATCGCGAAGAGCGCTGCTTGCAATCTGTCGCAAGGTATCGAGAGCCATGTTTCTGGCCTGCTGGCTATCGGGGTAGCCAACTACATCCTGAACGGGAGTTGCCAGACCCGGTAGTCGCAGTAAGAAAGCCAGCTTGGGAGGGGTGTGGAACTTGGGTGCGAGACCAAAGCCGGCATACACGGGGTCAAACGTGCCAGCAATATGGGTATAGGCCTCCTCCACCTGATCAATATCAAGCTCACTGGCCACGATCCCCTCCTTCCGGCCAATGTGGAAGACGGCAGCGGATGCATTGCTTGTAGTCTGCGGCGCGATGGCATGAGAGCCACCCAGGCTCCGGGTGCCAAGGGTTCCCTCTGCAGCGAAGTCTCGTAGTTGAGCCACGACCTCGGTGGCCTCCTTCTGGCAGCGCGCTTCCTGGTCTCTCCAGATCTGCTGCACTTTCTTGATAACGCTTACAAAGTCGAGAACCTCATCGTCTCTGTCCCTGACAGTATCACCGCGGGTTGTGGCAGAACCTGAGCCAGGCCAATATGTGCCTCCAAAAACAGGTTCCAAGTTTGCAGTAAGAAACAGGTTCAAGGGCCAGCCTCCCGAGCTGCTGACGGCCTGGACATAGTTCATATAGATGGAATCGAGGTCGGGACGCTCATCGCGGTCGATGACAATGGGGATAAAGTATTCATTGAGAAGAGCCGCACAGTCGGGGTTCGCGAAGGACTCCTGTGCCATCAGGCGGCAGTCTGGGGAGAGGTGTCTGTTAGCAGGAAGGCGGGCGGGGATACGGCATTGGCCCTAACTCACGGTGGCAGGCTAGGTAGCCGATGTGCATGAAGATGAGCTTGTGCTCCCTCCTGGCTCGCTCAATACTGGCATTGTCGAGAGGTTGCCAGGCCACAGGGCTGTCGACAAAGCTCTTGACAAAGGGGCTTGTACCCTCGGAGGTGCGGTTCTGGAGGGGAGTGAGGTGCTCGGCACTTGGGGCACCCTCCCCGGAGATGGGACCCAAGGCCTTGGCCGAAGCCGTGAGCTCGGAAGCGCCCAGCATGGTGTTGCGTGGGGACGACGGCAAGCTTTGAAGGTGGTTGCGACAGCAGCACGCGCAGAAAGACGTCAGAAGGGGAGGTAGGGGAGAGGCAGGAATCCAGTTAGGTATTGCCTGGGACCGGTATGGAAGCTTCGGTATTGGCTGGAAGTTACTTTGGGCCTAACTTAGCAGGCAGATGATATCAATCAAGAATGGGGAGACCTGGTTTGGCCCGTCGCGCACGGGTGGATCAGCGGCACGACACGGCACAACTGCATCTGGCCGGGGCACGATGGGATGAAAGAGGGTCTTGCGGATGGGAGCGCTCCGGGTCATCTGCGAAGCTGACAGTCTCTTTTTATTCTTCTCTTCACCCCATTCCGCCAGCCCGCCCCGAAGTCTGAGCAGTGAACCGACTCGTGTCCTGTAATCGCTGCTGGGCGTTGGCGGGGCGGGGGATGATACAAGCCCCGCCTACTGAAGTCACTCTGGAAGCCATGATGAAATGGTCCATAGCGCTCACCCTTGGCTGCTGGCGGCGGGGCTGCCTGCAAACTTTACAGAACCAGAAGGAGGGGCACCGCTAAGGCCCTTGGCCAGCAGGGGACCATACCGACTGCCGCCTGTCCAAGTAATACGACCTGTACGGTGCTTGACGTAATTAAGCCTCCAGTAGGAGCAGCTACTGCAATGTCAATATCTCAGTCATTCAATCGAGAAATCGGTTGGTCTAGGTATGATTGCCAGCCAGCAGCGTGCAATTCCTGCCCTTGCACACAGCAACTCTGTACTAGGGGCCATCATTTTGATTGAGACCATTTCCGTCCGTTGACAGACATGCTTTCGGTATGGATACTAGACCATTGCTTTGTACTCACGATCCCTCCCATGTCTCCGTATCACCATGCCGAGTTTCAGTAAAGACCAATCAATTGATGTCCAACGGACGCATGAAAGAGAAACGTCGTCATACCAATAAATACCTTGCGTTGAGACGAGTTTCGAAGATGCACCCAGTGCAGTGGGTCAAGCTTCGCTGGTTGGTTGGCCATTGGCTCACTGAATTTTTGAGGGGCGTAGAGTAAAATCTTTATTAGACTCTGACCCTCGTATCGATCCCTCTTCAAGAACTGCTTCACCCCAGACAAAAAGTCACACCAATTGCACTTACTGAGACGAGCGCCCTTTCCCCGCAAAGATGAAGAACATTCAGCGCCTTGAGCTGCCAGCCGCGGCAGACATGCATGTCCACTTGCGACAGGGCGAGCTTATGGACTTGGTGGTGCCGACTGTGCGCCAGGGAGGAGTCGACACAGCCTTCGTGTACGAAGCCCATCAACCCAATTACCCGGTGTAATATCAAGTTTGCTTACCAAATATTTCTTGATAGAATGCCCAACCTTGTATGTGAACTTGAGGCTCAACGACGATAGATTGGTTATTCGCTCGTCCATGCAATGGATTGCGTGGGGCTTTCCGGGGGTGGACCTGGTACCCCAACCAAACAATATCATACTAACACACTGAAACAACTTGTAGGTGCCTCCTCTGACCGCCGTTGACAAGGTATGTATCGATCTCGGGAGTGACTCTCTTCATGAGCCGTGGGCATGCCCTTTGATGTATCAATGTGAATCTGACGGTCAGTAGGTTTTGGAATATCAGTCCAAGCTGCAAGCAATTACCAAGGATGTCCACTTCCTCATGTCTCTCTTCGTGCGTTGGAACCCATTCCTCGTAGATTCTATGGGTCTTTGCCTTTGTCTTACCCTCTCCCCATAGCTTCACCCTTCTGTTACCCCAGAGGTCATCGCTCAGGCAGCAGCAGCAGGAGTTAGTGGTGTGAAACTCTATCCCCAAGGTGAGTTGGCATCCATTACTACCATGTCTGTCTGTAGTCTGTGCCAACTAATACTGGATAAGGTGTCACCACTAATTCCGACAACGGAGTGGCCGACATTGAAGCTTTCTACCCAACCTTTGCTGCCATGGAGGAACATGACATTGTCTTAAACCTCCATGGCGAGGTGCTGGAGTCGCTCGCACCTCCAGATACAACTCTGGAAGAGGCATTCCTCCCCACGTTGAAGAAGCTCCATGAAAGATTCCCAAAGCTCCGCATCGTGGTGCGTGTGCCCCCTTTCCTCTAGCCTCGTGTCTGAGGAGGATACACTAACATCTGGTGTTTTTCAGCTTGAGCATTGTACTACTGCAGCAGCAGTCGAAGCTGTTCGCGCCTGTGGACCAACTGTTGGCGGTATGGTTTGACTCATTCTGTCGTTCATATTCGTTTTGTGTAGCCAAGTTGCTGATGTCATTGGGGCATGTAGCCACCATCACGGCCCATCACCTTTATCTTACTTCCGCCGAAGCCTGCTGCGACCCATTTGCGTTCTGTAAACCTATTCCCAAGAAGCCCACAGATAGGGATGCTCTACTGAGGGCCATCGCAAGCGGCGAGAACAAGTTCTTCTTGTGAGTTCCCCCATGAGTGCACAGATATGTCGCAATTCTGACCAACATTCTCAATCTCTCATAGTGGAAGTGACAGCGCGCCCCATCTACTCCAAACCAAGACATCTGCTGCTCAAGGCAAGGCTCCTGCAGGCGTCTTCACACAACCGTACGTCGTGCAATTGGTCCTGCTTGCGCTCGAGGAGGCCATCGAGCGCGGCGTGATCAAGGAGGGAGAGATTACCCAAGAGAAGCTGGAGGGATTCCTGAGCCGCAACGGACGCAAGTTCTACAAGCTTCCTGAAACGTCAGGCAGAAGAATTGTGCTTGAGAGAAAGGGGGAGAAGATCCCTCCCAGCGTAGCGAGCGCGGACGGCGCCACTGAGGTTGGTATTTCTCGGGAAGGCGCGGAGGTGTTCAGCCTGACATGGGTTTGAGAAATTGGCAAGACCAAGTAGATAAAATATGGATGAAAAGATGAAGCGAGTAGAGTAAAGAGAGCGAATGTTGAGTCAACTTGAGACGAAAGAGGACTACGGGGATTGACTTGGTCTGGGCAAGGGGTAATGAGCAAGGAGTAATGAAATGCAAGAGAACTAACGACCCAATTGGCCTTGACTGCCTGTGGGGTGACAAGAACAGAACTCTGAGCGATCTTAGGAACACCCCGCGAGCTGAAGTTAAGATATCCAGCGTGCAGGAGGCTAGGCACGGAGGGTGTTGGTTTGGGTGTCAATGAAGTCCCTGATTGCCCTGACACGTGGGATCCATCAACCCATCCAGGTCCCTGTCGCGCTAATGCGGGACCTTATCGATAGGATGATCAGCCCCCAGACCCACGCGCATGACTGACTGCAGCCTGTCGGTTGTGGGTAGCTCTCTCTGAGCTAAACGTTCCGTCCGTCATCTTCCCACTCCCATTCTTTCGCACTTTCCATCTCACCTGTGCTGCGCTTTGGGGTTCCGACGCCAACACCTCCGGTCGTTTCGAAATATCGATGGCGGATCCAACATATACAATATGGGTGCGGGTGCCTATCCCGAGAGGTGATTTCGTTGATCCCCCACAGGTACACCTGACCGTGATGGTTCATCTGCACGTGCGAGCCGAACTGACGTTCAGAGCAGGTTAGCTGGGACTCTGGAAAGGACGAAGCGTTGTGGAAGATACTATCTGGCGCCGCGCAGACAGAAATTGATTGTAGGTTCTCTCACAATTAAACTCCGCATTGAACCAAGCCTAATGGAAAGTTAACCGATCTTACTCTATAGGGAATCAAGTGTAGGATCCTTCGTTCATTGCTCGCTCAAACCCACTCGATCGACTGACATAACCTAGAGCCGAGACATTCGATGTACCCGTGGACTTTCTTTTGCGACAGGTTGCCTATATTACCGAACGACATGCATCCCAAGTACGTGCACAGGTTCGTAAGGCGACTGCGGCAGCTAAAGTCGGATCGAGTGCGCCATCACCGGTTCCTGGCTCCGAATCAGCTGGCTTCCGATCATTACGGCGAAACTCCCTAACGGCGCGAGCTGGCGGCAGTGGAGCTGGTACACCCCTCAACGCATCGATACGGCCGGTTATATCTCGAAATCCATCAACTAGCACCGCCGTCCTTAGAGATGCAGGTGGCTCATTATCACCTAGGCCAGGGAAGCCTAATCTTTCGGCTAGGCCTGCCGAACAAAGTGGGAGGAGGAGGCTCTCTTCGTTGCCCATCACATCAACACCCGACCCCGATCCCGAAAGCCCGCCATCCCCTGGCCCAGCTGAATCCGATTCCACATTGACATCGGAGGACGAATCCAGTCCAGCCCAGTCCCGGATTATCCGTCGACCACCTCGCTTCCAGCAGCAGGATAATTCAACCGACTATGCTGATGACGAGGAAGAGGAGTCAGAACCTGCATTCCAGCCATGGCCAAGTTCGAACAAAAACCAGACCTCGGCTCAAGATATGACATCTACTCTTCGGGGTGATAATAGAGAAAAATTTAAACGAACATCTAAGAGTTTGGGGAAGAAGCCGGTTCATCATTCACCTTCACAAACATCCGATTCAGATGCTGGCTCGGCAGCAACGGGAGGTGGGATGGACAAATCACTCGAACAAGGGAAGCCAGGTCCTCTTTCGCCTCGGAGAACCGCTGAATTGGCGGGTAGAAGCCCTGGTAGTAAAGGGTACTCCAGAGATGGCAGCGATGGCACTCCTAGCATGGGTAGCAGCTTTAGTGATCTTGACGGTATGCCGCTCCTCTTTTTTACCACTGGCCCACACGTTTTGTTTTGTTCCTTGCACTTTATTGATTAATTTATTAGATGCATCTGTCACGCAGTCTGCGCTTGAGGAGGCATTGGCCAGTCACATGAATCGCGGAGCTGGGAGCCGCTTCAGCATCAGTCAGGCATTCCGAAGCCGGTATACTCCCAGTGGAAATCAATGAAACACCCTACTAACACTGTATGATTATGAATTATGGCTACCTACTTATGTTGCTACTTACGCTTTGGTTTAATGGCTGGCGTGGGCGAACGGGAAGCGGCGTTGGTTTGATGGGTTTATGCTGCACGTCGCCGATGTGCGTTTGATGATGCCGCCTTCTGTAACTTGAACAAAGACGGTTTTTTTGTGTATTTTCTACATACGTTGTAACCGGAACGACCATTGTTTATTGGTAGGTAGGACTTGTGATCAAGGATAGCTAATTGTTGTCTCCTCTCCACCTAAGCGTTGAGGGACCATGCACTGTCCCTCGTGTTCCGCCATATCCCGTGTGTTGATTGCGTATCTCGTGAGTTGCACAAACACAGCAGCAGCTCTCCTTCCGCCTTCGCCGCCCTCTTTCCTGTTTTCATCTCAGCCATAAAAGACCAACTCTTTCCAACAACACCCAAACCACGGCTGTTTCTTCAAGTCAAGTCTCTTTCTTGCAAGTAATCATCTGGTCGCTCGGAATAAAAAAGCCATCATCATGTTTCGTCGTCTCCCTTCCGGCTTGCCAAAGGACGCCGACTTCCCTGCAGATTTGGAGAAACTCGGGTTTGTCTCCTCGTCCAACCGCCTTTGGTGCTTCATATTCACTGACTGGGTGATTCTAACGAACAGGTATTACGTCAACGATGGCGATGAGATCCGATCCATCGAGGATCCGGACTACTATTTCAAGTTCTTCCTGAGCAAGAATGAGCGAGTGAACCAGCGCCAGCGATTTTCTTTTAACCGTGAGAAATAATCTCCCCGACTCCATGTGTTAAAAAGCAAGGCTAATGTTTTACTGCCATCTACAGAAGCCCTCGAGACCATAGTCCATCAGCGCCTCACCGAGAAGGGACTTGAGAAGATTCGACTTCCCCTCGGCACTCCGCCCTCGAAGCCTCATGTGCCGATATTCGTGGACGCCGACCTCAAGTCGAAGAAGCGCGTCATCGTCATGTTCGGAGAGATGTCGCAGGACCTGGGCGTCCTCGCCGGCCGCATCGCCAACGGCGCTAGGGGGATCAACACAGGCAGCATGGTCTCCGTCGTGGACGCCGCGCGAGCTGAGACCTCGCCCGGCGAGGCGGCGCCCGGGCTCGTCCTGGCAAACATGGGACAGCTGCGCTGGTGGCCAGAGGGGCAGCGGGCCGTCACCTCGACCGGGTGGCTGGGCACTCCGCTCCCAAGCTTGGTGCATGCGGGCAGGAGGCATGTGCCGGAGGTGAATGACATCCCGGGCAACGAGACCGGGCAGGACCATGTCCGCTGCGTTTTCGACGAGGTCCTGGCCCAGATGGTGGATAAGGACGCCGTGATTGACATCATCACGATCGATGCTATGACAAGTGAGGAGGTCGAGAAATTCCTCGACAAGAACTGGGGAGTTTGGGGACACAGGCTTAGCTCCATGGCTATTCTTGAGACTCTTTATTCTGCCTACCAGCTAACCTCTCAGCCCTTCAAGGACTTCTTGGCCAAAGTAAGAAACATTGTTCCTTGATTGCTTAGCCCATACTTCGTCTCCTTCGTGATATACTGATGATTTGGCAGCGTTGCCGCAGCTACATCGTCTCTGAAAAGCCCTTCGATACCCCGATTGCGCCCCCAGAGGGAATCGAACACCACGGCATTGAACCGTACGGCGTGCCGGTCTACTCCTCCTCGGAGCCCAACCACGTCGAATGCATTCTCATTACAGCACTCAAGCCTATAATGTCCTTCCTCCGCCGCTACGCCATGGATCCGGATGCTGAGAACGAACGGGTGGTGATCGAGGGGGAGATCGAGGTGGAGCGGGCAAGTTTGGAGGAGATAGAAGAGTCGTGGGCTGCGGCGGAGGACGATGCGAAGCCCATGGTTGCCATTCTCAACCAAGACTATCTCAAGACCGAGGTTGAGAAGGCCAATGCCTGGAGACGCTTCCAGGAGACTGGTGAGGCGTCAATCTTTGACGTGGAGAATAAAGGGGTCGGCATGGTGGAGTCGATTGGCACATGTTAAAATAGGACAAGTTCGCGTGGGCTTTCTTTCATGAGTTATACATTTACATGGCGCGCTACGTGAAAGAGGCTACCTAGAGATTGGCGTAACCGGGAGGATACAGCTCCCTGGACGGGGGGAAGACATCAAGTGAAAGTTGGTGGTGATACATGAAAAATGCTTCCGAGACAGAAAATAAACGAATGTCCCGTTTTCACCCTGCCCCTGCTGGATTAGTATAACTGGTACAATTTGATGCATTACATGAACTAAGCTTGGAACCACCTGAGGAGGCCCTCGTCCCTAGGTTTGGTAGTGTCCACAAGCTCGGTGGTCCGCCTGACCCTCTCCTTCAAGACGGAGCGCTCCGCCTCCCATCGGCCCTCGACGCTCTCGGGGAGCCTGGAGCTCCAGAAGGAGAGCACGCTCGGCGCCGGTCTCTTCTCCCTGTCGAGCTGCTCCTCCTTGACGAGCTTCGCTACCATAACGGTCCAGTTGTCCAGTCCGGTCTGGAGGCACTCGCGGCAGGTCTGTTTCACGGCGACGGCGTCCTTGCTTGCGCTTGAAGGCAGGGAGCGGAGCTCCTCCTCGGCGATGTCGACACCCTCACGGGTCCAGGCGAGGCCATCCTCCTTTGACGAGGTTGAGTAGAGGATCTCGCCAATGTAGAGGTTCAGGGATGCCTCGTGGCAGCGCTCCTCGGGACTGCGCCAGGGAGGCTGGGTGCCGTCCGGAGGTGCGGGAGGGTATGCGGGAGGGGAGAAGAGCTCGATGATCGTGCCAAAGGTCGAGGTCTGCCTCCTCGGCTTGGGGCGGATTTGGCCACGAGGCGCCTCGTTTGGCAGAGCGCGACGGGCCTTTAGCAGTGAGATGTACATCGGCAGCGCCTCGGAGACCTGCCCGTGTCTGGCTTTGTAGTTTGCAATCGTGGTAAGAGCATCAAGGACATTTAGAGAGGGGGCGGGGCCCTTGTCCTTTAATGCAAGGGTCTTGGGGTTGTATGGAAGCTCGGTTTGTGCGAGGCCCTGTGTAGCCTCTGCCAGAGCATAGTTGAGCAGCGGCTCCGCACCACCGGGTCGCTGCTTGAACTCGAGAAAGTTGGCATACTCGAAAGTAGCCTCGATTTTCTGCCTGGTGCTGAAGCCCTTGGTAGCGAAAATCTTGAGGTAGTATCGGTCGGCGGGTGGGAATGCAGGCTCACAGTCCTCCTCGCGAGGGGCCTTGGGGGCTCCAACTGGGATGGGCTTGGGCCTGGGGTTGGATGGCCCAATGACATATTCGGGAGCGGAAGCAAAGTTGCGCTTGACGTCCCGGACCCAGCCGTCTAGATACTCGGCGGCTTTGGCTGTGAGCATCATTGTCTCGTAGTAACCCCGCCGCCACTCCTCGCTCATTCCGGAGATGTCATGGGCAATGAACTCCCAGGGAACCTCAGCGCCGGGATCCTCTTGTTCGGAGAGTCTGGGGATCCTGTGGCCCTCTCGCTTCACGTCCTCAAAACTCAAACACACATTTCTAGCAAGCTCGAATGTCTTGACCCAGTTGACCGCCGGCCTGTGGTTTGGATCTGTCCATTTGTGTGCATCCCTCAACTGCTTCCTGAGCCTCCAGGGCCACTCGGGGGGAGTAGGATAGTCGCGCTCGACCTTCTCCTCGAGGATGAAGTAGTATATTACAAAGAAGGCAACGGAGCCAACTACGCAGATGGTGGCATAGCGGACAAAAAGCTTAGCCTCGTGCATGAGCCATTGTCTGCGTCGTCCGGATGCGTATGTGCGGCGGCAAGCATCGCGATTGGCCGTGGGTGTTGTGAGGAAGGCAAGAGTCGGTCGGGATGGCGAGTTTGTTGTGGCCCATTGCCGTTGAGCTAATCGCCGATGGAATCGAAAAGCTGTGCCCCTCTGTTCAATAGCGAGCCTCGGATTGCTCAGCCAAGAGCGGCAAACCAGGATGCGCGGTCGCATGTTGGCCTAGGGAGGTTGAGGACCCAATCGAGGTGCTGTCGTTCGGTGGTCAACTTATGGGGGGTTCCGCCTCTCTATGCCGGTTGTGCCATGTCCGCGCCCAATTTTAGACGTGAGGATGAAGCTGTGGAGGGATTGAGTGACGCTTGATTTAATTGGCATCGGCTCGATCTCGACAAGGAACCACTTATCCCGGCGTCGAGGTACGTATTTCCCCGGGGATCACGTGCTCATCACGCATTTTGTGCTCATCAGTTTCCAGTAGGCAGGTAGTTTCAAGTAAGGACCAGACAGTCGCAGATGAATTGCTGGCCATTGCCCGAATAGATTTCGTTTATTCTAACTATGAAATGAAGATGAATCCCTTCGTTTCAGATACGCTGGCAAACCCGCGATTTCAATTCTTCGCGACTGCTGCATTATCAGGTGCCACCGTCGCCTCACTCGTTCTGGGCTACCAGTCCTTGGAACGGGGTCAGAGGCTCTCACAATTGAAAGGCTCGATACCACCAAGTGAGAGGGATGACGGCAAGGTTAGACATCTACGGCAATTCGGCTTGTGAGGGTTTGGCAACTGATATCTTCTTGCTAGGTGAACTACTCGGATCCTCCAGTGGATAAGGAGGACGCTCGCAACCAGGCACTGGCCAGGCGCGCGCAGGCAGGAGACTTTGACGAGGAGCTCATTTTGGAGCAGCTGGCCCGGAACAGAGTCTTCCTCAAGCCTGAAGGATTGGACAAACTGCGCGACTCGTTTGTGGTCGTTGTGGGCTGTGGAGGTGTCGGTTCTCATGCTACGGCGTCGCTTGCCAGGTCCGGCGCATCGAAGATTCGTCTTGTCGATTTCGACCAAGTTACACTGAGCTCGCTCAACCGGCATGCGGTGGCAACGCTTGCGGATGTAGGCACCCCAAAGGTTCGCTGCCTGGAGAGGCGATTGATTGCCATCGCCCCATGGGTCAAATTTGACCTGCGCCAGGAGAAATTCGACGACGATGTAGCCGAAAAACTACTGGGCCCTTGGGAGGGAACTGAGCAGAGGCCGGATTTCGTTATTGACGCAATCGACAACATTGACACCAAGGTTGCATTGCTTAAGTACTGCCACGACAACAAGCTCCCCGTGATTAGTTCAATGGGAGCTGGTTGCAAGTCAGATCCTACCCGCATCATTGTGGGTGATATATCAACTAGTACTGACGATGCGTTATCTCGTAGCACGCGGCGTCGTCTCAAACTAGTAGGAGTTCACACGGGAATCCCTGTTGTGTATTCCATGGAGAAGACTGGCGATGGCAAGGCTGAGCTTCTCCCTCTGCCTGAAGAAGAATTTCAAAAGGGCTCCGTGGGCGACCTTGGGCCAATGGCAAACTTTCGAGTTCGGATTCTCCCAGTACTCGGAACGATGCCTGCCGTCTTTGGGCTGACAGTCGCCAATCACGTTATTCTCGCATTGACTGGCTACCCTTATGACTACGCACCAGGCAAAGGCCGGGATAAATTGTATGATGGAGTTTTCAACTACGTCCAGGGCGTGGAAGAGAAGCTGCACAGGCTCTTCCACCCTAACCTCACGGGCCTCAAAATTCCGTTGACAACGAACGACGTCGCGTTCCTCCTGGACGAGCTGTACCAAGGAAAGAGTGTCATCACGGGCATTTCTACAAAGATCGTGTTGATACGGTGGCGCAAGCCCAGCGAAGACAACTTGATCGTCATCGGTGAGGAGCCTCAAGTCCAGAGGAGTTCGCGACTGAAGCTCAGCGACTTGGTGTGCATGACGAAGGAGGAAGCTGCAAGGCATGAAAAGAGGATTTTCAAGAAAGGGAAGAAGCTTGAGGACCTGTACGATGCTGAAACGATAGCAAGGGTCGACGCGAAGAGAGTGAAGGCGGACCGGTATGAGGCGTATCGAGCCTCCCTGTGAGTTATGCTCGTCAGAGGCGTTATCGTGTTAGAGACTGTACAATATCATAATCAAAGCATTCCGACCCAATCGCTGGCCAAATTGCCAGCCTCCTTGTGTGAGAGGCTCCCGCGTTCCCCCTTTTTTTCATTCACCTGAGTCGCTTATCCCTTTGCCACCCTTGTTCAGCTTGCACAGGCGCGGTGGCGGGCTATCGGATGACCCGAAGGGACGTTACTCAAGGCTGCTAAGAGTATTGACTGTACAGCTCGATTGAAAGGGTTGACTGGGCTGCCACAATTGATTGGCTGAGGTGTAAGGCGGCTGTGGTGATCACAAAACCGCAATAATTGGTTAGCGTTGCCTCTGGATCAGCACATACGCCCGGGACTCCAAGCCACTCATTTTACGACAACGGGAGAGGCAACCAGGTGAGGCGAGTTGCCTGCTGCCTACTGGGTCGCGGAATACACGCGCTTTCGTATCAGGAAGAGTATTGCGCCTCATTTCGGACGGGGGTCGTGTGGCGAATAGGCAAAAACTAAAAGAAGCAAAATACCCACCGCCGCCGCTGCCTTCGCGAGCGAACCAAGTACATCATGTACGTTCCCGGTCAGCGCGAATTCCGGCCATTCCTGGGCTGTGAGTTGCCGACCTTGCATCGCCCACCGGTTTCATGGGATGCATCGGGGAAGGGCAATTGAGGCCGCGCCGGGATGCGAGTACCCGTTTCATTCGTTTCATAAGATGCCCGATTTTCGTAGCGCCCGTGGTTCCTGAGACCGAAAAGCCCCATCCAAGGGTCCATCCAAAACTCCAAGAGTTTGGTGTCGTAAGGCAGCTTCAGGAGGCAACCGGGATTTCGATAAAGGAACGTAGCACAACTGACTCCCGAGCATGGCTAGATTACCACCGTTACACGAAAGGCAATACGAGAGTATTAGTTTTTCTTCTTCTAGTATTATAGCATGAACAGTAGTTTGAAGTTTGCCACGGCTTTGGTGCTCTTTTGGGGGGTGCGGAGTAAATGGATGACGATGCGGACGCCCGATAACCATCCTTGTGCAATCCTCTGATGTTCGTAGTACAGTGTGCGACGCACCACCAGCTTCAACCTGCGCGTGGTTCTCTGTTGGGAAGGATGGTTTCACTGGTATCCGAGGATAGATTTCGTCTCGGTGTTCTTAGATGACGCGCGGCAGCACTAGAGCACAAAGATGAACCCAGGAACCCGGAACGATTATGGGACGGGAACACAACGATATTCAAAGGCGCACTTGCGTACCTACTTGCATAAGGAACCTATGTTGGTCCGCTTGAGCCCGAGGAAAATATGGCCTAGATTAGGTATCCAGACCAAGTCAAAAGACGGGACAATGGAGGATGTTTGGTGATTGGAAGCTGCACGGTCTCAGTACCAATTTGCCAACCATAACATTCGATGACTCTTCTAGAATCCCGGGGGCCAGTAATACTTTGGTAAACATAGCCAGGTCGAGCTCGTCATCCAGTACGTCTGAATAATAAGCCACTCGCGAGCTGACAAGATGGTGGATTTGCCATCAGCTTACGCAAGGAGCCCATGTGATCGAGGCAACAAGCGTACATTGCAAAAGAAAAACCATGGATGTTACCGAAGGTCTCCCTCACAGGTCTCGCCGATCCAAGGCAAATGTGTAAGGCGCTGCTGTCATACACGACAATCCACAATTCGAAAGGCTGGGAAACGTCGCCTACAAACTTCCAGCTCGCCTCGTATCTGGATGTTGTTTTCGCTGTCGCTAGCCGCCTGCCAGGCCGCATACCAGGCCGCCGCGGGTGTCCTTGGAGCGGAGGTGAGGCTGATTCCTTTCTCCAAGAGCGTGATGTGATGAATGCATAGTCGTCAATAGTTCCCGGTAGACGAAGTAGCGTACGGTGCTTTGGGCAGAATTCGCCGACCTTGTAACGCGACCGGTTTCCTTAAGTAGCTTCCACCCCGAGCGCTGAAGGGCTGGGTAATTTAAGATGCGTGATGGGAGAGTGACACAGACGAGAACGCTTGCATAAGGTTTTCACCTCTTACCGAGGGGGAAAAAGCAAGCGCCCAAAGGAACGAGGCGGACATGGTTGGAGGCGTGATTCCGGGCTGGATCTGCATATTATCTGCGGCCTGCCGATAAACTACTGCATTAAACCTCCCGGCCATGTTGGCTGCCCGGGTTCATTGATGCCCAGCTCGCGAGGTTGCTATTTTGCGGTTGGCGACGGCGGCCTCTCTGGACTTGTGTTACCCAACGATATGAATAGTACGTAACAACGCATCAGGTGTCGATGAGGGTGTGAGACTTGGTCATATGATGTGCAAGGCGAGTATTCTATCTGATGAGCGTGTGCTGCTGGCTATAAGCAGCAAAAGTGTAGGTACTGCTAGTACAGTACAGCACGTCTCATCATTTTTGCATGGAAGCCTTGGGGTCTAGCAGATGTGCAATCTGTGCCTGAGATGGCTGGGTAGACTGTCGATGAAGCCTGAGTGGCTGGATTTGACAAGACGGCAGCTTGCTAATGTCAATCTGCCAGCTCCATGTCTTGTTTCGGAGAAATCCATGGCACTGTTCGCTGATGAGTCTTGAAGCATTTTCTTCTAGGAGACCCTAGGTAGTCTCTCCCGCCTGGATGCAGCAAGGAAGATGGGTGAAATGAAGCATATCTTGGGCATAAATCATTGATGTAATTAGACAATTTTGGTTGGTAGGCTGCATAACAAGTACTGGCTGGCTCACAGGTAATGCACTCTGCCGTCGGCGAAAGTTGTGAGGCATGTCAGGTAGGCAGGCTCCGAGAGAAAGAAAATTGCTGAGTCTGTTCCTTGTGCTACGAAGTCCCGTTAGACGAGCCCAACGTGAAGGGCAAAGCGAACCATAAGGTTTTAGATGCTAAGGCATGTAGGGAGCAATTGCCAAGTTAGTTTGGGGGGCATGTATCGGTACATTACATGCTAGGTCTAGTGGTCCGCGAACCACCACTGAACTACCATTAGGCCACGCTCAGCATCGAAACACATATAGTGTATTGATGCCACGTCCTCCCTCCCCCTTCTTTTCTCGATGGTATCAAACGTTTCTCCGACCTGGTAGAGCCCAATCCATCGGGACCTGCCGAATTCATTCCTTTTCAACCCATTTCGCGGGCATTTCCGCCAGTCTTGCACACGCGCCGCCATCGCCTAGTTCCCGCTATTGCAGGTGCAACGCGCTGCCCTAACCTAACCCCCTCCCAGCGGCTGCAGCGACCAGACCGCCACCCTAGACTTCCCTGACATCACTGAGGGAGGGTTGGTGGGATTGTCTCCAGACTCCTAGTACGTATTCTATTATGTACCAGACCTTGGCCACCGATTTTCCCTTCTTCACACAACAACAGCAAGCGCATCGTTTTGCGCCCTCACCCTGCACCCGAGGGCGACACTGGCCGCTAACACGAGATGTCCCCTAGAGTGCCACTGGTAATCGCTCAATATTGCCGCAATCCCGCCCCTTGAGTGGTGCAGCAGTTGCTTACTTCCTGGCTTGATCGATTCCAGCAACCCCTCTTCCTGCTGATGTCTGCCTGACTCTGCTCTCCAACCTACGATGAGCAACCATATTCAGGACAGTTGGGTCAAACACTTGCGGAAGTCAGAAGCTGCCGCACGCAGAATCACCTGTCCAGAATGCAAGGCTGAACTCGATAGCAATCTGGAGGACTTCAAGGCACACGTCCGCGACAATGTCTCCGAACATGGTAACCTGGCCGGCGATGCCGCCATTGCGGATGCTTTCAAACGCATCAGCTTGAGATCGTGAGTCGGCTGCTGCCTGCCCCTTCGTTTTGCCACATGCCCCGCGCATCCCTTTGATTCACGAACATTCTTTCCCCATACCATGACTTTTATTCACGGACATGTCTGCTGCCTCTTTCATTCCATCCATCTTACATGCATGCATATGCAGAGAGAGTAAGCTTGCCAGGTTACTAATACGAAAACATGTCCAGAACCAAATCCGTCGACCAGCCCTCGAACAAACTATCAAAGAAGAGACCGTCCGGCCCAACTGCACTCGAGAGTGTCGACCACAGAGATACGAGCATGAGCAACGAACGAGGGAACAAAAAAGTCTGCTCGCCGACTTCGTCTGACCATCAACACGCATCTCCCAACAGCAAGCATCCTGTCAGCCGGAGCCGTGCACGCCCAAATGATTTCGATCGTTATGGTTCAGGAGCTCGACCTGCCGGCCGCCTCTTCAACCCAGAGCAGGATTCTCCAGGCACAGGTCGACAACTGAAAGGCCTCTTCCACGCTTCCAAAGCTTCGCAGCAGCAGCAGCAGCAGCAGCAACATCAACAGAAGAGGCAGCTGGAGAGCCGCGGCCGACAACAACCACCCCCTGCCATCAAGGCTGACTCTCAAGACAACGGCGCACCAAACCTCATCAGTAGTCCGCACACGTCGATCGCCCCCCAACCAGAAACGAAGCCCATTTCTCATGAACAACTGGTGGCCGAAGTGAAGGGGATCTACGCAGGCCTGGTTATGATCGAAACTAAGTGTATCGAGGTTGACAATGCCCAGTCGGCATGCCCAGAGCAAAAGTTGTCAAAGGATCAATGGCAAGCCCTCATCGCGCTCCATCGTACGCTCCTCCACGAGCACCACGACTTTTTTCTGGCTAGCCAACATCCTGCAGCCAACGCTGCACTTCGACGCCTCGCATCCAAGTATGCTATGCCTGCACGGATGTGGAGACATGGCATTCACTCATTTCTAGAACTGCTTCGTCGCAGACTCCCTGATTCATATGAGTACATGCTCACCTTCATCTATCTGGCATATGCCATGATGGCATTACTCTACGAGACTGTTCCTAATTTCGAGGATACCTGGGTTGAATGTCTAGGAGATCTTGCTAGATATCGCATGGCTATTGAGGATAATGATTTAAAGGATCGCGAGACCTGGACAGGAGTCGCTCGACAGTGGTACAGCTTCGCTTCCGAGAAGGCACCAGCAACTGGCCGTCTTTACCACCATCTTGCGATTTTGGCTCGGCCGAATGCTGTTCAACAGCTGTACTTCTATACCAAGTCTCTCTGTGTTGTCATTCCGTTCCACAGTGCCAGGGAAAGTATAATGACTCTCTTCGATCCAGTTCTCACCGCTGGTTCAGCAGCCCGCCTCCCTGCAATTGATGCTGCCATTGTTCGTGTGCATGGTATCTTTTTCTCCAAGAAGAATAAAGAACTTCTGGATCAGTCTATTGACGAGTATGTCACGCTCTTGGATCCTTATATTGGCAAAGTGACCAAGAAATTTCTCGAAGTCGGGCAAGTATATCAGAGAACAAACACAGGAGAGCAATAACTAACTTTATACTAGCTATTACACCGGGATTCCCCTATGTTGTTCTCTCTTGGGTTACGGAGTGGAAACAAATTTTATCATGAGAGAGATCTCGCAACCATCCGAAGAGGGTGACACTGCAGGCTCTGTTGGTACCGGCAGCGTTGCCGGCGCTGACGAGGTTGTCCCTGACGAGATGTTCCCCAAGGCACGCGATTTCGCGATGAAAATCTATAAAATAGTTGCTAAACGTTTCGGAGACCCAAACACACTGCCCTTTATTCATACTTTCCTAGCCTTTATGTGGCATATGAGCAAATTCCCTGCTGCCATGGAGCAACTCGAGCGAGACTTCCCATGGCAACTTACTGCAACGATGCTTAATCATACCTTCCAGTCTTGTGGGTTTGAGGCACGAATGGAGAGTGAGGAGTTTCCAGGTGCTCTTAAGAATGACACCCCTCGTCCTCTGCCGGAGGATTTCGCGATGAGGAGCCTGGTCTATACCGAGGACTACCTGCCATCACAGTGGTTTAAAGATAGCAAGGTGGAGGAAGACGAGAAACAATTCGAGCTGGCTTCAATGGTCGACCAACGAAAAGAGAGACTCCTCTGGCTCGGACGTAGGATCGCATCTACTGGAAGGTGGTTGACATGGAATGAACTTTCACGACGATTTGGGGTAGCAGACGAGTGGGCTGACCTAGAGGATGCTGCAATCACTTTCTCGGCGTTTGGCGAACATAATGAATACAGTTGACGGTTTCTCCCTTGTTTGGATTTAATAATTCTTGCCATCCGAATCTATGATGAAATTTCTGTGTCCTTCCTATGTGACTGAATCAATACCATATTTCAAACTGTAGTGTTGCCACAGTTCTTTCGATGAGGTAGTTGCATTTACTATCTACAGCTTATATGCTGGGCTCGAATTAGTATTGTTCAGCAGATTTCATTCCGTACTGGGATATACCCTTCCTAAACCGTTGAAACAGATTTGTTGATCGTGGTTGGGTCTTCGCATTGGGGTGAATGATATATTGTTTTGGAAGATACTCAATGTCCTTGGGCTATGGAAAGACATGGGATCCTCACGAAACTTGATATCTAGTTTCTCGTGTATTTAAACAATCCGAATCTATATTGGCTAAGCGGCACATGGGAAGCCGGAATCTGTAGATCCTTACCCGCCGTCACGATGCCGATCCGACTACGCCATCTGGCCCGGGGAAATATCTAAACATCGGAGGCCCAACTGCGGCCCCGAAATGAAATCTTGGATTGGGCCATGGCCAGGCATGACTTTCCCGTTGTTTCGAGAAAATCGACTGACGAGTGGTATGATCTCATCTGGACAGGTGATTCTCCCCATCTGGTGATGCCTTCTCTGATCATTCGGCACCAGTATGGACGTAGCACGTGTTAAGAAAGGCGGGGGCTGACCATGGTTCAGCCTCAGTAAGCACGTCCAAAAAGAGAAATCAAATATTACACAAAAGCAGTAAAATGCAATTTTTTAAAAAAAAAAAATTGGCAAAGGAAATATTCATTGCAGAACACGGCGTTGGTCATTGGCCATCGGCTACGCCGGTGTGCCCTAGACCTACTTTCTGCTGGACTATCGCAATTGTGTCTCTCAAGAGTCCCTCTACTTCCAAGACTTGAAATCTCTTTCTTTAACCGGGTAGAACCGGCCGCAAGGCAGAGGTTCGCCTTGCACAAAATGTCTCAAATTTTCCTCGGAGCAGCTGTTAGTTATGGATCCCCCTCACACCCCCTTCCTCACTGGAGGATGGCTTTTTGTATGTAAAGACAAAGAGGTTAGAAGTATGATTCAGAATTGAATATTAGTCCCCTTTTGAACAACAGTGCAGCTTAAGTGCTGACACATGTCACACAGCACCAACACTTAATGCATATGACAGATCAAAGAATGTAGCCAGACACTGCAAGTGTGATGGTGGCTGAGAAAGAGCGTTGCCCTATAAAAAGCTGAGAGATAATCAAATCATGAGATTTACAGTTTGGACTTCATTTCCCAAAGGCTGCTAAATCTCGTGTAGGTCAAAACTTTGTTATTCAGAGGCACGCTGCTCTATTACTAGAGAGGTGTTGGCGACATGCAAGTGACAAGAGGTTTCATGTTCATCGCTTTTTCACTCACATCTCGGTAGTGGGTCGGTCATGTGCAAGACAGCTACACCGTTTCAACTCCCAAGCAATGGCTGACAATAGAGAGCTTGATAGGTCCGGCAGGCAAGTCTTGCTTGGAAACAAGTTTGAGAGCGGGCGCGGGTGTGTTGATCATTCCTATGCCGGCAACGCTATACCTACAGCATGTGGACGATCATCCTTGCCGATCCTTTACTGGCAACCAACGATCCCATCTGCCTTGATTGATGAGATCTGTCGTGGATTGCTTATAGCGGTGTGCTTGAACTCTGATCCCTCTCTTATTATTAGGCAGCAGTCTAAGAGCTACCCTCCCATGTCAGCAATAGCCGCCTTTTGGCAGCTAGTGTTGTTCTGCCTTCACTGACCCCTGGTTTTGGCGACTGCCTCTCTGATATTTGGAGAGAAAAAAGACTCCATTAATGGTGTCAATTCTGTAAGAAGAAGGCAATTTAATAACATAAGTCGTAATCTCATAAGCCAGCCTCATGGTTCGGAGCGGCCGGCCGGCCAAGGCAATTGTTAATTTACTGCTAGTACCAATACTTGTGGCCGTATAGCTCTCTTACTTCCAGCTCGGGTGGGGATCAATTATTATTATACATCTCAGCCACTGGGCATACGAGTTCCCGCACTACAGAACATTAATTCGGCGCATGTTGTCGTGGCAATGAGGCCCAGCCCTGGCTATTTACGCCACCTATTACGCATTGTCCTATAAGCAGCATCTCCCTTCATTGGGGCTCAAGACCTCGCGTGTATCAGGTCCACTAACACAAGACATCAGCCCCTCAATGCCTTCAGATGTTATTGTTATTAGGCTGGCCGCCTCGCTATGCTAAATGACATCCGAGTGGGGCGACGAGGAGGTGTTCGCCTTGCGAGCCCCTCAGACGCCTTACGAGCCCTACTGCCTTCGCAATTTCGCTGTGCAGAAGAGGGGTTGGTTGTAATGCAGGAGAGCCGTTTTACCGAAGCGCCAATCCTAATGGGCTCTCAGCTGTAATGACGGGGCTGGGTGGGATGTTGCTGCCATGATGCATGTGCGTTATGCACTTTACTAGCTCTCTCCTCCAACCAATATATCCACATGCGCCTGTTACAATACAGATGTATGTATACCTCAGTCGCTGGTCCCAAAAGTGTATAAAACCGGACCATTTCCTGGCCATCCATGCACTGACACTTGGTGAGAGGATGCATCCATAAGGCTGGCGCCCTATGTCCGGGGGAGTGATCCCAGCCTCTTAAAATCGATATTATTCTTGGATATTGAAGAGCTGTCAATCCTTCTGAGGGGGGGCTTGCCTAGACATTCTATGATTTGCTGTTGAGTCCGCAAACCGTCCTCGTGAGAGCCCAGCTGAGGTGGAGTTGGGCCTCAACCAGAGTCATAGCGTAATCAAACGTCATCTCTGCAGTCGGGAGTGATAGGTCTGAAAGCGATGCGATCATGCCGCCACTGCCTGATGAGATAAGTGAACAAAGCTAGCTAGCAAGAATTGTTACCCAACCGTACAGGAGCTTCTAGAACTTCCTTGCTGATGAGTCTGCCACCATGCCTTTCGATCCAAGTAAAAATAGCTAATGCGGTGATTGGGTCCTTCAGATGCAATGTGAACACAAAATATTAGTGTGAATAGGGTATCTCGAAAGAAAATATACTATCTATACCCCTTGCTTGGAGTCTTGTGGCTACTGTGCAGCCTCTGGTTAACCTAGAGGACGCGATATGAGGAGACCGCCGTGGTTAAACACAAGATTTTCTAGTCAAAGCGAATTCCCGACTATTAGAGCGAAGAAAAACTTTTAGCTAGATGTACATTTTGATGAGATTACAGAACTCCAATAGGCGCGGCGCCGTTATTTTCTCGCATTCTCTATTGCTGTCGGGTATGGAATAAGTTGTGTCTGTACCTCCATCTTAACTTCGATCCTTTTGACGCTACCTTCGAATAATATCTGAAATCAATATGACACAGAGTTTACTTATTATATTGTTTATAGTATTCTAAATACACTTTGATCGATTTAACTGGAGTAGCTGCTCTCCGCGAAGCTACGAGAGATATGAGAAAATAGAGAGGGATCAGCGTATTCCTTTGAATAGAAGAGACGGTGTGGTATTTAACGAAGAACTTGGAATCGACCTCCATTTAATCACATTCGCATGCTCATAAGGAACCTTAGCTGAAGAGATTATAGAATATATGAAAGTTATCACCGCTCCGCCTAAGGACATTGAGAAAATTTAGCCCCGTTGAATTTTTATAACTCAGTATGCATCTCGAAACAAGATACGAACATAGAGTAGAGATCATATTAGTGAACCTTTTGCGATTAGAAATCTTCTCACCACTCCAGTCTCTCCAAGATATTACAGTTTCTTCTCAATCCCGCTGGGTCGATATGAGCCGAAAGGAGAGCACAACCGTTGCAAGTTGATGCCTTACACCAGCTCATGGTCAATATTGAAATTGAAGCCCAACTAGAGAATGTCTATTAATAGAATCTTCTGATTCATACCACGTCCGATATATCCTTGTTGGAACAACATCCATGCAAGGAATCAACCAGTAAAGGATCGTGCTGCGTTGGCATTGCTACCCCAAGCAACCAGAACACTTCCATGCTATATGTCAGATATTTATTGGCTCGAGTTGCATGACAGGATGCTCAAAAATGGAGATTGTTGCCTGACGTGACTCTTTGTCGTCGCCTCGCTGGAAATCGCTGCGACGCCGGCAGTACGGAAAAGGGCATCGAAATTCATGCCATTTGGTAGTTATTCGTATTAGTGAATCGGCCTCAATTTTTAGAACCGTTTGGGGACATGAAAATGAAACAAGCAAGAGTAGACGTTTTTATCTGTTCTCCGTCTTATAGTTACGGGGCCGCAAGTCAAGGGGCGAGAAAGTTAAAGAAAAGCAAAATGATTTGAAGAGGCTGTAGAGTAAGTATATAAAAAGAAACATAATTCATTCTATAGAAGTGAGAACCGTATTCTTAAGATATTATCATATTTCAGCTTATTCATATTCCAAGCATGACCCGTGACAAATATGAGAATTGGCCGATAGACCTAACCAAATGTTCGAAACAAACAAGCGCGAACATCAAGGAATCCGATTTGATAATTTAGAACATTAGTATGATTTGTCATTGGATAGCTCCCCAAGACTGTTACGGTACTAGTGTGCTCTCTTGTTAAGGATCAAATGGTCGACTCCGTGGCGCTCCACGGACACCTCCGTGGAGCTCACGCAATCCCTGAGACTAACCTTGGTCGCAGCGCCTGGTGCAGTGACATTCGGATTTGCATTCCTTATCTTAAAAAAGTGTCTAAATCGTATCACAGCAATCGCCACGGGGCACCGCGCTTCCAAGCAGATGGAATCGAAGTTTGGAAGTATTACAAATGAACAGCTGAGGAAGAATTATGGCCCCGCTAATGGTCGAGGATAAATAGGAGAAGCATGTAGATGAAATTCCGGTTCTAAACCATAGTGTCAAAAGAGAATCTTGTCTAGAAATTCATTCCCATCTTTCAAACCAAAAACGAAGTCTTTACAATGGCAGTTCCACGATACAGTTCTGGCGACGTGAGCCCTGCACCTCTGGGACGCAACCTTGAGTTTCCTGTATCTGGGCGGATCGCAAAGAATCGCTTCCTCAAAAGCCCAATGGCCGAGGTTCTCGCCACTTGGAGTCCCAAACACGTATATGAGCGAGGTATTCCTACCGATGAGCTTGTTGAATTGTACAGAAGGTTCGTGATACCTTCTTTTTTTCCGGGCGCGAGTTGTTAATTGTTCGGACTAATGGTCATCCGTCTTTTGCAGATGGGGGGAAGGAAAGAATAATTGGGGTGTCATTGTTACCGGAAATATCGATACAAACTGGGCCATGGTCAATGGCCCAGGCGACATGATCATCACTCCGGATTGTCTCTTCGAGGGCGAGCGATTCGAAAAGTTCACAGAGCTTGCCGCGGCAGCCAAGGCCGATGGCAGTCTCATTGTCGCCCAGATCACTCATCCGGGGAGACAGGTCCAGGCATCGGTGAGCCCGACGTCTGTCTCCGCATCTGCCGTTCAACTTGGTAGGTGGTTGCTCAGCACTTCACACAAGCCTGTCTAGCTAGTTCTAACTGCAAATCAATATAGAGCCAAAGGACGGCATGACTTTCGGCAAGCCCCACCCTGCCACGCGAGCCGAGATGAAGAAGATCGTGGATGAGTTTGCATATGCGGCCGAGTACCTAGAAAAGGCTGGGTTCGATGGAATCGAGCTGCACGGGGCTCACGGATACCTCATCGCCCAGTTCCTCTCCCGGACCACCAACAAACGCACAGACGAGTACGGCGTCCAGACTACGGAGAATCGCATGCGGTTCCTCTCGGATATCGTGCGCGGTATCAAGGCCAGAGTCTCGCCCAAGTTCATCGTATCCGCCAAACTGAACAGCGTGGAGTTCCAAGAAGGTGGCGTCACACCCGACGAGGCGCGTGAAGTGTGCGAGACTCTCGAGAAGCTCGGCCTCGATTTTGTAGAGCTCAGTGGTGGCACATACGAGGAATTGGGCCTCAAGTTCGAGAGAGAGTCGACCAAGATACGAGAGGGATTCTTTCTGAAATTCGCCCAGGCCATCTCGCAGGCTCTGGGCCCGGACCGCAAGATGAAGCTGTATTTGTCCGGCGGCATGCGCTCAGTCGGCCCCATGGTTACGGCGCTCGACTCCGTGGACGGCATTGGCCTCGGACGACCTGCAGCGGCTGAGCCTCGACTTGCGAGCGACATTCTGGAAGGGCGTGCTGGCGGAGCGCTCAAGCCCCTCACCGCTGGTGAGGAATTCCCCTTGAGTCTTATGGCTGCCGGGGCTCAAATCTGGCAGATCGCCAGAGGAAAGGAGCCATTCCAATTGTGGGATGAAAAAGTGCTCGCGCAGCTGGAACAGGACCTTAGAACATGGTTTGGGAAGAAGACGGAGGATGGAGACAAGCTTGAGCATACGAAGCCCGTCGAGTACACTGGGCCACAGAATGCGTACGGGTCCAGTGCGGCGGTGGTTGCATAGACCGGAAGGCCATTAGAATTTAGACTCGCTATGTACGTATTTTGATTTATTTATTTTACCTTATACAAATAGAAAAAAGGAGCATTTTTGGTCGGTGCGCTTGTTCGCCTGAGGTGGTGGTTGAGGCGATGGTGGATGACAAATCCACCATAGATCTGACCGACAGCCGGTGGACCAGACCCTTCCTTCTCTTCCGTTCCTGATTTATCCCCTTCATAGCTCCCATGTCGCATTGAAGACGGCTATACAGCTAGAAAGATCGCAACGTAATTATCGGAGCACACCTGTCCGTCATGTCCTCCGAGAACTCCACTTCACCTGGTGAACCGCAGCCGGCGGGTGCCAGAAAGGGTATGTCATGTTCACACAGGAGTTGTCTCCGTTATCAAATTGCCCTCTAACGAGTATATCAAGCTTGCGACTTGTGTTTTCGAAAGAAAATAAAATGCGACATGTTGAAGCCATCATGCTCCAACTGCTCTCTTTACAATGCCGAGTGTCGGACAAGCCTCATCCGCCAGAAGCCTGGGGGCCGTGCAAGACGAAGGGTAGGAGCACAAGAAGCTCCCGAAGAGGCTCCTGAGGACGCCGAAGGAATCAAGGCTCGCCTAGAGCGTATAGAGAGTCTCCTGAAAGAGGCTGCCGGACAGAAAGCGCCCAACCCCTCTGCCAATTCTGAATCTCCCCACTTTGTGGTGGACAGTCGTAGCGTTGATTCCACCACTGATGACCAGATACACAACTCTACTGCTCCAACATGGGGATTTGATGCTGTGAGACCATCTCTATACTTCGGTCCAGGAGCACCAGGAACCCCATTGCCACCACTCTACGTACGTGGTTTTGAGCCCAACCGACCTGATCCCAGGCGCAACCCAGACATACCCATCCCGGTTTCTAACAAAATAATAGGATATTATGCCGCTTATCGATTTATATTTCGATAATTTTAACCAGGTATCGCCTATTTTTGAGCGGAAGACTTTTACTCGTATGGTAATCGAGTGGTATAACCAAAGAGCAACTCATAGCCGGGTTGCTTGGGCTGCAATTCTTGCAGTCTGTTCCCTCGGCTTGCGCGCTTCGCCTTCCGGAAATCCATTGTTCAAGGGGTCATACACCAACAAAGAATGCAGTGACTACTGTCTGAGAAACGCCCAGTCGGTTATCCCGGAATTGCTGATCAGGGAGGAGGATTTGCTGGGCGTCCAGACATTGCTCGTCCTGGCCACTCTGTTCCATCAGGCCTGTGATCAAAGAGCAGCAGGTAATTTGGCGAGCATGGCCCTCAGGCTTGCACATAGGATGCGCCTTCACTCCAAGCTGTCCACGGAATTCTTCTCTGCCGAGGAAATACAACAAAGATCAAACGTATTCTGGGTCGCATACATTCTGGACAAGGTGAGTGGTGCTAGTCTGCATGGTATGAAATTTCGCTCACATTCTCTGCCAGGATATTTCCATGAGGATGCAAATGCCATCTGGGCAGATGGATCAGGACATCGATGTCTCCCTTCCGCCCATGAACCCGGCTGGGGCCGAGAACGATATTGGTCTCATCTGGACGCGTGACCGTACCACTCCTTTCAATCTTTTCCGCATGCGCCTTGACCTCGCCCATATTCAGGGCAAACTCTATGATCTCATCTACTCCAATCGCTCTCTCAAGATCAACGCCATTGAACGTCAAGCTCGGGTTGAAAGCCTGCAAAAGCTGCTGACAACTTGGATGGGTAGGATCCCGGCAGCATTTCAAATCGAGCACGTGGCCGCAACTGTAGGTGAAATAGAAGTGACGCACATGGTGAAGTTTTATCACTCCTATCTCACAACCATCACGTTTCTTCATGGGATTTACAGCCAACAGGCGGAGTGGGTGAAGCGCGTGGGCCCTCAGGCCAGATACGCCATCCAAGATTATACTCTGGCCATGTCTGGGCATGCTGCCGATTGTCTCTCGGAATACCTGGACCCGCCAGCGGAGAAATACTGGTATCATTGTGTCGACATCAGCCGCTTTGCCTTGAAGCTATTCCAGGAAGTGGCGCAAACAGACTGGTTGGTTTGGTAAGTACCAAATGACCAATTGAGACCTTCTCCCTTGACGAAATGTCACTGACTTGTAATCCAAGGCAATGCACTTGTGCTCATTTTTCAGGGCTCGTCATTCTTCTATCAAACACTGTCATGTACCCAACGCATGAATTTGCTTCGCTTGATAGCGAGATATCAACAGTGTCGGTTCAGCTCCTAGACAAAATCGTGGCTGATTCCAATCACGGAGATATATTCGCGTCTCTCCAACACGTTGTGGCTGATCTCTCCAAACATGCGAAAGCCGCGGTATCGTCTGTTCGCCTTCAACAAGCAGCCCCGGCTTCCGAAGGCGTGTTTGGCCAGAGCTTTCAAGAAGATGACTGGTTTCCTGGGCAATCTGAGCTCTCCACTTTTGGCAACGGGGACGAAGCAGATTTGACGGGCACCTTCAACTTGAATGCTGAGATAGACCCTTTCTTGCATGCCGAATGTGACCAAGGCAGTGCTCGGGTCAATCTTGAGACCATGCTGTAACTGCCGGGCAGAATGCCGGGCCTGGCTTGCTCTAGTCCGCCCCGAGGCATCCAGGGGCCTCAGTTTCACATCCCAGCCAAATCACCCGAGTAGTATGACGGAGTAGTAATGCCCATCAATTCTCCCGTCACGGCATCTTTACCCCGCACACACATTCACTACTCCACAGGTTTACCCCTGGGACATGTCACGTCCAGTCGGAGCCTCTCTCTTTTGGGACGTGGCCCACCTCGTAAACCTGATCGCCTCGTTTCCGCACGACTTAAATTGAAGATTGACATAATTGCCTAATGGTCAGGCCCTTGGCCGGGTTGCCATTGTCCCGAGGTAGCCACTGGTCCTTAATAGGAAGCTCGTTAAATGCCCGCGACCGCTCGTTGGGCAATATCAACCCGTCTGTCTACCCACGAGGGTGAAGACATCCCACGTAAACCTTGGCCGGATTTTCAACAAAGAAACTACCCGTAATTGGGTAAAAGCCGAGAATATGTTGAGGGCTATTCTTTTCTCAATCCTCCTGGCCTCCTACGGCCTGGCTGTCAAGATCGTTTCAACAAGCCATTGGGACATTGGTACGGACATCCAAGGATCTGAACGTCTCAATGGCGTAAGCTATCAGGAGGACGTCCTCATCACATTTGGCGAGCATCAATATGTCACATTCTACGAGACAGCCCCAGCGGGGTACGGTAATCATTCTGTGAGGGTTGGTCGCCGCCGCGTGCTCCCATCTGTCGGGGCATGGGAGTTTTTGACCCTCACTGATTACCTCCAAACGACTCTAGACGGTCACAATATGATCTCTATGGGGATTTCTGGCGACGGTCGAATTCATCTGAGCTTTGATCACCATGTACGTGTGCCAAACAGGAAGAAAGAGGGCTTGAATCTAACAGATATAATTTCAATAGGATGTCCCGCTAAATTATCGAGTTTCCAATGATCCTATAGCAATTACCGTACCAATTTGGACCGCCAGTCTATTTGGCAGTGTAGTTCACCAGCTCCCCGGATCATCGGGACCTTGGACACCACTCACCTATCCGCGGTTCCAGTCTCTAGAGAACGGTGATCTTCTGCTAGAATTTAGAATTGGCCAGTGAGTTTCCTACTTGATAATTATCTTCCTGAGGATATGTTACTGGGCTCGTGCTGATTCTCGGAATGGTTTAAAGATCCGGATCTGGAGATAGCTATATTCACAGATATTCCAGCACCTCTCGCACGTGGCAGGCATACGGCAAATATCTCCAGGGCAATGATAACAATGCTTACATCAACGGCCTCGATGTGCTTAACGGACGGCTCTATACCTCCTGGACGGTACGAGAGACACCAGATGCGAACACAAACCATGATTTGTTTTTTGCATATTCAGACGACAGTGGTCAGAGTTGGTACAACACAAAGGGTGCAGCGCTGCCTGATCCAATTCCTGTGGACCAAGATGTTGTCAAGGTTTGGAGCATTGCTCAGAATACTGGTATGGTAAACCAGGAAGGGCAGCTTATTGATTCCAAGGGAAGGTTTCACGCACTCATGAGGGGCAACTCTTCCGGGCAGCGGGTTTATGAGCATTATCTAAGAAGCACCGATGGTAAGCTTACCCGAACCAAATTCTTTTCATCAGTTTATTTCTAAGAACAATAATGGCTGACCGGCTTCTGTTTCATCAGGAACCTGGGTGCGGAATCTCATCAACCCAGGTGATATATCTCCTCCAGATCTGTATGCACCTCGTGGTAAATTTGCTGCGGATGCCGATTCTCGTTATCTGTTTGCTCTGCTGCCCGATTTACCAGCTCTACAACTCCGTGTCTATGTGTCGACCAGTGATGGGCAGTTCAAGGACTGGCAGCTACTTACCGTCGTTTCTAACGCTTCCTCTGAACCACTCTTTGATCAGAAGAGACTGAAGGATCAAGGAATTCTCAGTGTCTTTGTTAGACAAGGTGGTCCATTTCCCGATCGGAAGGTCCAGGTTTGGGATTTCAAACTAGAGTTGTAAAGCATGAGAATTGTTCTGCTTGATTCCAAAATGCTATCCTTTTTGGGGGTCTCTACCCTACATACTTCTTAAAATACATTAAGTTGACTCGAAAATTTCAGTGTTTCAATCTGGAAGATGAATCACGTCCCTTCACCCGCTGTGATACATTGCGTTCATGAAGTGAAATAAATCGGGCAGCTCAGTACTTAGGAACCAGGATCCCTCGAATCCTTTATTGGTTACTACAATACATACTCAATTACCTATTTCAGAGATAGAAACGTAACATCGGTGCCAGGGATGTTGTGATCGACGTCATTAACATGCAGTATAACCAACGTGACTATCCTTCTCCACAACCACATGAACCCGATAGCGGGGGAAGGAGCATTGAGCTTAATGAATTCCATTCATTTATGGATTAGAGAGAGGTAGATTCGGGTCATTGTATCACCGTAGTTGTTGGCATATAAAGGCAGGCATTACCCCAGAACTTTTAGGAACTTTCACCAAGCACGTCTCAACAGTTTTCATCCTTGAAATAGGTTCATTGGAACCCAGGACGTTCAGATGCTCAAAACTATGGGCTTTCGAATTCCTCTCTCTCTTTCGCTGTTGGCTATTCTTGGTAGAGCGGCCGCAGCTGATGTTGACATCCTTGACTACATTGACCCCCTGATCGGAACTTCAGATGGCGGTTCGTGATTTTAAGATCTGTACTTTGGATAAGAACAGGACTGACTATTCCTATAGGCCATGTGTTTCCCGGTGCCAGTTTGCCATTCGGAATGGCTAAAGCTGTGGCCGACGTTGATAAAGAGACTCAAGGTGGCTTTGCCTCCAACGATGGGCTGAGTACGTTGATTTGCCTAATGCAACAGTTCCTCACTACCCTCCAAATCTAACTAAATATTCAAGTTACTGGCTTTTCTCATATGCATGATAGTGGGACCGGTGGCGTATGTGAACCATCTGACTATATATGGTAGTTCATTTAACTAACCAGAGCGAATGTCTATAGGGCTCCTCCCTGGGGAATTTCCCTTTATTCCCACAGACCCACTGCCCAGATGATGACTTGAATCAATGCGAGTTCCCCAAGAAGCTACGCGCTGTAGAACGAATAAATGGGACAGTGAAAGCTCGTCCAGGTTATTTCGCTGTCACTCTCAACACATCCATCATCGCGGAAATCACCGTCAGCAACCATACTGCCCTCTACAGATTCAATTTCCCAAGTAACCAAAGTGTTTCGAGTTCTGGAAACAGCTCATCGCCTTCTTCATACAGCCCCTTGATCCTAGCTGACCTGACTGATCTGGCAAACTCCAGGACTGATGGGAGTATTCAGGTAGATCCTGAGACAGGGCGCATCACGGGCAATGGAACTTTCACTCCGTCTTTCGGCATAGGGACCTACACTTTGCACTTTTGTGCCGACTTCAAAGGAGCTGATATCCGCGACACTGGTGTGTTCATCAATAACCGGGCAGGCAATGAGACCAAAAGCCTCAAAGTCTACGAGGACGGGAACAACAATCCTCCGTTACCAGCAGGTGCTTGGGTGCGCTTCAAGCAGCCCGAATCAAACCAGGTGCTGGCTCGAGTCGGTCTTTCATTCTTCAGTGCGAGCCAGGCCTGTAGGAATGCTGAGAGAGAGATCCAAGATTTCGATTTTGAGGGCACCAAAGAGCTCGCAGAGGATACCTGGCGAGCCAAGCTGGCGCCGGTGTCAGTGGACGATACCGGGCTGGATCAATCCATCAAGCGGATCTTCTGGAGCGGTCTATACCGCTCTTTCCTGTCCCCTCAAGACTATACTGGTGAGTTCGAAGGCCCTTGACGAAATCGAATGAAGTCTAACCACCCAGGAATTCAGGAGAGAACCCATTGTGGGAGAGTGACGAGCCATATTTCGACTCGTATTATTGTATTTGGGATAGTTTCAGAAGCACACACCCGCTTCTGACCCTAGTTGATCCTCACGCACAAAGTCTTATGGTTCGCAGCCTGATCGATATTTATCGTCATGAAGGCAAACTCCCTGACTGTCGGATGTCGCTCTGCAAGGGCTTTACCCAAGGCGGAAGTAATGCTGACAACCTCCTTGCTGATTCATACCTTAAGGGTCTCAGGGATGGGATTGATTGGGAAACAGGATACAAAGCCGTGATATCAGATGCTGAGGGTGAGTGAGCACTCCATATAGAGGAAAGGACTTCCAAGCTCTTTACCGAACTAACATATCTTCCAGAACAATCAGAGATATGGACTGTTCAAGGGCGTGGAGGGCTTGATAGCTGGAAGACTCTTGGGTACATCCCAACCGATGATTTCGATCCCCATGGTGTTGGCCTATTCACGCGTTCCATCTCTCGCACAATCGAGTACTCGTACAACGACTTTTGTATCGCTGAAATGGCGCGAGAGATGAACAAGACAGATGACGCCGAAAAGTATCTCGAAAGGTCAGGAAACTGGGTCAATATGTTTGATCCTGATTCCCGATCTTTGCTCAACCTAACAGGCAGTTCTGACCCAGCAGCTCTCGTTGACAGCGGCTTCCAGGGGTTTCTCCAACCAAGATATGCAAATGGGACATTCGGCTACCAGGACCCATCTATCTGTACCTTTCTCTTCAATTTCACTTCCTGCTATCTCAACGCGAATGGTCATGAGACTTATGAAGGCGGTGCGTGGCTCTACACGTTTTACGTCCCGCACAATCAAGCGGACTTAATTCCTATGCTCGGTGGACCCGAGGAATTCACCCGTCGACTACAGTATCTCCATGATACCCCGGGTCTTCTCTATGTCGGAAATGAGCAGTCCTACCTCCTCTTCTTCCTGTTCCATTTTACAGGCCGGCCAGGGTTGTCTGCGGAAACGGCACACAAGCACATACCGAGCAGTTTCAACGACACCACCAGCGGCATCCCTGGAAACGATGACTCAGGAGCCATGGGGAGCTTTACTGCTCTTACGATGATGGGGTTGTACCCAATGAGCGGGCAAGATGTCTACCTCATCATTCCGCCCTTCTTCGCCGAGGTCAACCTCACGAATCCCCAGTCAGGCAAGACGGCTACTATACGTTCTATAGGATTCGACGCATCATATGTCAACATATATATTCAGGGCGCTACACTGAACGGAGAACCATACACCAAATCCTGGATCACGCACAGTTTCTTTGTGGAGGGCGGTGTCCTGGAGCTGATAGTTGGGTCTCATGAGAGCCTGACTTGGGGCGCGGGAGAGGATGATGTTCCTCCAAGCGCCTCTACTCACTTTTGGGGCAAGACTTGATTGAAATCTTCGATTTGAATTAAACTCTATGGTCTAGAGAAGTAATTGAGTCATTGAATAGGATGCGTGTCTCCTTGGTACGCAGTCTCGAAAGAGCCAAGAATGATGAAGCATCAATACTGAGATGAACTTGGACCAGAATATAACTCCAAGCCGGCGTCTATCTCTAACTTTAAAGTGAAACAAGCAAGACAAGACCCATTGTTCTTTTCCTAGTCCGTGGCTCAGTAAAAGAGAAGAAATCCTACTCACCAGTAGCAAGATTTAGTTAGACATATCAATCCCAGGTTGTTGAGAACGACAGTATGTTCTTACTATTGTCAGTGAGTTCGATTGAAAAAAACGTAGCATAACCTAACAGTCTCGAATATAATCCTACAGTATCACCATATTCTGGTGCAAGTTGTAAAAGTTCTACTTCTAGTTGATCGCTATTCAAGTGTGATGTGTAACTAGGAAGAAGTTCGACCGATCTTCCCCAGGTTGTATAAAACTATGCACATCGATTTAGATCCCAGACGGCGTGCGTAGAAGCAAACGAGAACTTACTGTGAAAGAGAGAATTTGACCAAATCTGTTTCGAGACACTTTGATATCGTTAATGCGTTCGCCCTCGCTGGGTGATCTTTCTAGGGTATGGCTTTGACGGCCAGGAGAATCCAAAGTTGGCAACATTCCCAACAAAAAGGGTTTTTTTGTTTGCTCCGCGAGGCATCGTACTCAAGTTGAAGCGCGTAAATGTCGGCATAGTCCACGCTCTCATCGAGGTACGGCGTATCCTCGCTCCATATAGTAATGCTGGTCAAGTGTGACAAGAGTTTGCCGTCAACGCCTCCAAAGAGACAGTAAGAGAAAGGCACCCATGCCACGAAGCCATGTCCACGAGGTGTGTAACTAAGAGACGTGTTAGTGAGGTTTCAGGATCAAAATGTTGATGTTTAGGCTGAGCTTGGGGCAAAACTGTGTCGTGTACGGGTCGATCATGGTGCGCCCTTTCTGAGGTTGGTGACTCTAGAACATTCGTCCATGAAGAAGCAGACTGGCATTTTACTGAATTTCGCCTTGCTGCCCGCACGGCTAAAGAGAAGTCTCAGCAAATAATAAGCATCCTTTTTGTTTGTTCACAATATCACTCTGCCCAATTAATCTATCCAGAATTCTGAGACCTCACAAGTGCTGCCTATTGCGCCAACAATACTCTATTGATGAATTATTTCCTTGTCAGACACGGTCCAGGACCAAGGCCATGATCTTGCCGCTTCTACTCTTGAATTTCTCCGGCAGCAAGCCAGGCGGAAGCAGATCAGCGTCGCCATTCGCTCGCAAAGCCTCCTCCAGAGTACACGTGCCAGCGTCCACAAACCCCATCGATCGATACAGGCCCAGCGTGACATGATTGTCGGGCTTGACCATGATGCGGACGCGTACCTGCTTGGGGACACCGTGACCGTGGTACTCTCTGCGGGACGACGCGAGGAACTGGAACGTCTCTTTGCAGAGCCTTTTCCCGAGGCCCTTCCCGCGATGCTGGGGCAATGTGTACAAGCTCAGCATCTGCCACTTCTCCTCGTCTTTGTCGCTGGCCACGTCAGGCTGGGACGCCTCGCTGGGGAGGGCATAGTCGTCTGCCGAGACTGGGCCCAGGAGCGTGACCTGTGCGACCCATTCACACTTCTCCAGAGGCACGGTGCTGGGGTCAATTGATCCAGAGGAGCCCTCGTCGACTGCCGCGCAGATAAAGGTCTCCTTGTTTGGCGTGTTGATGCGGGATAGCCAGACTTCGTCGGAGAACTGGGCCTCGGTCTCATAGGTGGAGGAGAAGGATGCGGGTGAGTTCTGAAGCGCCGCTAGACGAAGCTCCTTGTACTTGGCCGCCAATGAGGGGAGGTTAGGGGCATCTTTATCGATTCTGAAGAACGTGTATGCCATTCTGGAAGTCGTTTACTGGGTTTGACGAAATGGATGTGCTCTGGTCTCACGGTCGCGGCGAAACACATACAAAAGTCGGTGGGACTGCGACAATTTTTATCTCCTGGTTCTGCAGAATGAATCGAACCAATGCACATCAGCTCATGATTGATATCTTATAAATGTTGATAAATTTGGCGTCGGACTATTTATATAATGCTCCGACAGTCAATAACCCCCTGATGACAAACGCTTGCCATTCTTTAGTGCATCTCGTATCACTCGGCGAAGATGCAGGTGGATTTTGGATTGGTGAACGAAGCATCTTCGCGTATGGACTCAATTGAAAGATGAGGCGAGACAAAATACATGGCCTCAGCCCTAATCTGCACATACGACGGTAAAATCCATCATGGCGATTGACTCTTCCAATCAAATGCCATCGCTCACATATTGAGCACCTACATCCATGAAGGCAGTTTGTCGTCCAAGACTCAGAAAGAGCATGAAGGCAGCTCACCCGGGCAGCAATTTCATTTCATACATAGGTAGCTAGAAAATAAATGAACATCAAACATCACGATCACCAGACAAAGAGAAACCACTTCAGAAACAGATGTCCAAGTCAAAACATTCATATGAGATCACGACAAACAAGCACATACATAGACAAGCACTCAGTCTCGCTCCCCTCACTTGCAAAAATTTCCAGCTAAATTGAGCTATCCACGTAAAGATTTCGCAGAATCGTATCTTTGAAGTCCTCAGCAACAGCGTATCGTCCTCACGCCATCTTGGGGCTACGACATCAGTCACAACGTAAGATCAGTCATGTCGATCAAGAGTGGTGAAGAGGCGATAACGAAAGTGAATCGATGGGTCGTATTGGGTCGAGGTGTGAAGCTGCCATGGGATACGAAGCATCGGCAAGTTGACGAAGTAATTTGGATCAGTGAAGTGACTTGTCCGCTTTGCATATAGCCAGGTAGTTGGTGATTTGCCCGGGTTGATGTCTTTGATGCTTGATCCGACTGTTCGCATTCATGGAGCGTCTTCGCTACAGGATGCTCATCTAAGGAATCTCCGAGTTGAGAGATTAGCAGACCATGTCTTTTCCAATTGCCCTACAACCCGTCTCCTCGCACGGATCTCGTTTAAGCGGTTCGGTTCCTTGTAATCTTCAGGGTGAGGGGCATTGCTTCCAATATGGTGGTCTTTCAGACTCGAAGTCGACTGTATTCGCTGGGGTAGGGTTTATCTGGCACTTCTCAGCCAGCGGGACTGATGAGGGGAGTAGCTCATATGCTCGAGGAAATATTCTCTGCCATTCAGTGATGCGCTTGACCTCGTTTCATCCATTTAATCATAAATGAATCAATCCAACATGCATTTGGCAGGAAACAGTCTGTGCCGCGGTCAACGACTTTGCGCCTCACTGTTGTTAGCGATGCCGTCTCAGAATGGCGAGAGATTGGTATTGAGAATACCAATTTTCCCGCTTACCTTTTCAAAGTGGCAGAGGAGGCGGCCATAAAGGCAGCTTAGCCAGTCTCGCGTCACATGAGTGTTGCACTGAGTTTTTAGCCCTCAGCAGCTATACACCTGGTGACCCGAAAATGGAGAGGCTGCTTAGCCCGCATGCATTCGTTGCCTGCAGGAGTGCGGCGGCGCTCTCTGAAATGATTTCCGCGGCTGTTGAGCTTCCCAACTTGACTTCAGAGGCCGATAGAAATGAGCGCATGCTCTGGTAGACTTGTCTGTGTCAATCAGACAATCAAGAAATTCATCTTCGGGTCTTTCAAGACCTGAATCCAGTTCTTCCCTTGATGCTCTGATTTCTCCAGCCCCCATATGATGGAAAGGGTTTCCATGCAGGTGTTCATGAATCCCCAAGGGGTAGTAACCAACAGTTTTTGAAATCTGTCAATGACCCAGGCCCGACGCTGGGGATCCTTTGCCCCTGCGCCGGCGACAAACGTTGGCCAAGATGTGGCCTTGAAATTCGGGTCTTCGGGCGGAATCTTTCCCAAGTAATAAAACATCTCCAGATACACAGCATCGACGACATCTTCGCTCAAGCTGTTGGCGATTGGCTCAATGGCCTGCATGATATACACCGAGGCGGCAAGACGGTGCACCGTACCTACATTGATCCGGCTCTCCAGCACCTTTTCCAGGTAATAGTTGTTCTTGAGCACTTCAACAGCCCACGCCCGAACATTGAAGTTCTGAGCACGGTGGAGCAGCATAAAGCCTTCTGATGCGATCTTTGCAGCGGTCTCGGCATCTTCGGTTACGACATTGGACAGTTGAGAGGCAGCGTAAAGAATCTCCAAGACCTCCGGCGGGCAGCACAGATAGCTGCTTGCCGTTGTCTTCTCCAAAATGGTCGGGATATTAGCTGAGTCGAAATATGTCTGCAATGAAGATGACTCAGGGGTGAATGCGGACGACAGCACGAAGTAACTTGGAAATACACTGGTTAGCACTGCTGTTAGACCGGCGAGGGTGGAGAGAAGAATCACCAAAAGCAATCAGATAGCAACGAATCTCGTAGTTCACGCAATGGAGGGTCAATTGTTTGCATGATAGACATCAGTCGGCCGGCACCCTCCAAATGGGCCCTCCACCCATTCTTCCCCGATTCCAGCAATTCGACATAAATGAAAAACAAGGCAGCGGCAAAGATAATATCGACAGGGACGGAGCCAACATTGGCGACAGCTTCGTGCATCAGCCGTAGCGCTTTGAGTTTAGCGACAAGTGCTTCTTGGAGGGCCTGCTGCGAGGCCTCGCCGCGCTGGTAGATGACTCTTCCATCAGATTGGACAAATGGTGGTTGAGCCGAGCGCACGAGATTCGATTTATGCGCCGCGGAGGAAGCGACGATGATGTGCTGTAGCAAAGGATGTGACCTGGTCATTGGCACAAGCTTGTGAAAGGGGTTACAATTATCTGGCAAATCATGAGAGACAAGATCGCGACACAGGCGTGTAGTAACTATATGAGGCCGTTGTCAGTAAGCTGGAGAAGGTCCGCTGGGAGGTCAGCAGCGTACAGTATGAAATGTAGTAACGATCAGTCTGAGACAAGTCTTGAAAGACAGGGTCGGCCAGAACCCAGGGTTTGTCGTACAGTGCATCTGAGACACGGTCCTGGGCAACAAGCTGCATATCGGAGGCCTTGGTTTCACTTCTTGAGGCAGTGGCATCTATGGCTTCCGAAGCTTCATCCTCTGGAGAATCTTCATCCTCATCTCCTCCCAACCTCTGGCTTGAGGGGAAGGACACATCAGCGCTGGATGTTTTGCCTGCCAGCTTGCCACGAGACGCCACGGCCCCGGTCCATCGGAGCAGCTGGCCATACCCGAGACATTCCTTGCCAGAGAGAACGCACTTGTTACACTGCGGATAAGACCGGTCACACCGGAGGCGCTGCCGGCGACAGTTGTGGCACTTCTTGGGCGCCTGAGGTTGTCCCGCCATGGCGAGACAGAGCCTGTCGGTATGGATATAACCCTAAGCAACCGTTGGCATAAGACCTATCGGGTTATGATGCGATCTCCTTTTCGATGGACGCAGCAGAGCGGCAGAATCACCTGGTCGCGTATTCAGATCGCTTCAACTGAGGTCAATTGATGCATGCACGAATCAAGGGTAGGCAGGTGACTAGTCCTCTTTTGGCTTGTGGCGATGCTGCTGATCTTGATAATTCGGCAAAATGGTATTTCCGAGCCGACAATCACCAAGACCATCACCGTCAGCCTCATTCATGAGATACCTAGTCTATGCTACCTATCTTGAGACGCAATAATAATACAATCACAAAAAGATTATAACATGGCTCCGTGTTTGCACGCAAGTTGTTTTGATTTGAGCCTGAGATTTCCATCCATAACGCCAATGTTTCGCTATTTCTCACCATCAGGATAACGATGAGTGAGCTCGGAATCCCCTGAGCGAGGTTCTCCTCGCGGAACCTACCCATCGTCTTCTGCTTATTGTTGCCACGTTGCAAGCCCTATCCCAATCTTCCTTCTGTCCAAGTTCATTTGCGTACATTTCTCTGTAGGGATGATGATGGACATTCTCAACTCTAGCCTGAAGTCTCGCGGAAACCATCGTCGCCTCGTCTATGACCCGCTTACAGTTCGGTGGCCACCTTTGGCGCCTAGAAAAGGCTCCTTCCGGAAGTCAAAGACGCCCGGGAGTGCCATCAGAACTCTCGTGAGACGTGTCTTTTTGGCGGGTTTTGACTTCCAGGCAATCACACCTCACGAACTGCCAGAGAAAGCTTAATCTGCACCTCAATCTTGTGAACACGAACGGGTAGAACACGGGGTAGACCAAAGGTGTCCCCATCATGGCCATCATGATTGATTCCCTGAAATGTAGCAACATCACAAGCGAACCAGATCCAAGAGATCCATCGTGCAATTGATGTCGGCCGCCCACAATGTTCAAGTACGTGCTCGCAATCCTGCTCCTCACTTACAGGCTGTGAAAGCTCACACAGATTATAGGCATTCTCACATACGGCGTATGCTTGGCCTCGGCGGCCCCTCGTCGCCTCCAGAGTTTGCTAAGCTCAATAGGCGTGCGATTGCCGATAGTGTCACTGGGTCTGGCGTCGAGGGACGAGAATGCTTCGCTCACCTTCTTCTGTTGGAGAAGTTCGCCTTTGTCAAGCAGAGAGTCACACATTGGGCCAGGAGCTATGATATCACCCCCGAATCAGCATGGACCTGCTACATCAACTTGGCTGTGTCGAGGTTCTACACATGGTTCGACAGAATTAACCGTTCAGATCCTTGGCGTCGAGTGCCTCCTCTAGATGTCCTGATGATATGGCACGCTCTCATGCAGGAGCCAACAAAGTGGGATGAGTTCGTGGAAATCTCAGAATGTCCAGTTTCCGGATGGGACTGGAACAATCTCGTCAGTCAGCCCATTCCAGTAGCATAACACACAAGCTGACTTGTCACTGGAACAGCTTCCGATCCTCATGCACTCGGAGGGTGCAAATTTCGACCTCCCAAGGGACAGTCATGACTGGGCAGCGGTGCTATATCCGACACCCAACACCGACCTGACGAAGATCATGGATATGAGCATCCCCTTCATGCAGTCAAGGAGCCCCGACGAATCAACAGAGATCCTGGCATCTCAGTTCATCCACAAGCCGGCCACCATGAAAGTCAGCGCCCCTTCAGGCTGCTCATTTTACTTATCGGTGGACATTCATTCGCTTGTCGAGCGCCAGTCGGAATTCGCAGCTCACATGCTTCGGTACGCCTGGCACCGCATGCCAACAGATGCAGGTCCTAACATGCCCCAGATGGCCCAGCCGATTAAGCGCTATGCTCGGTTCATTGCCCTCGTACGGCATGGGGCGGACATATCCAGTCTCGAGGCCTTCTCAGACGGCCTAAAGGCCCGCCTGGTGCCAACACCTGACATTGAGCTAGTCTGGAGGACGCACAGGCTCTCGCGGGCCAGGTACCGCAGGTACTGTAACAACGAGGGCGATTGGGTTCACAATCTGGGTGCCATCAATGCACAGCATGTGCCAGATGGCGACGACCTGCAGGCGTCATCTCAAGTATACGAGCACATATTCAGAGAAGAGTATGCAAGGTGCCACTGCTGGTACTGCATGGCGGAACATGAGTCGCCACATTTCCTCTGCAACGTGGAGCAGACCTTAGGAGAGGAGTTATCGGCCGAGACCAGACGCCGTCACAGCCTGCGTCTCGACATACCCCTCGACCTTGCCCGCCTCCAATGCCGCAGGTGTGGCCTGCACCCGGCCAGAGTCTGCAGGGCCAGGGATGTCTTCGAGAAATCCAGCACTAGACAGGAGGAAACCACATCACCGGGCGCTTCTGCCGCCTCGAGCACCACAGCGACCCAGAGGGCACCTACCGTGCGTGGGTTGCCCATCACCCACTTGGTACCAACGACGTGGTCTGAGCCTGCTCCTGCTCCTCTCCCATCTCCACACCCCAGCGGCCACTTTGAAAATGGCCGTGTATCTAGCCACTACAGGACACCACCTCCGCGTCACCAATACCGGAGGATGAGTGGAGGAGGGATGCCACCAACACCCGATGAGTCGCAGGAGGAGGGAGAGGATGCGTCTCTCGACAGGAACAGGCGCCATAGTGCCAAGTCGATAGGAAAGCAGCGGATGGTATGCCATGCTACCTCACATCGGCCCTGCATCTCGAGTTGCGACGACGACAACTCGCAGGACGACGCCAGACGTGTCGATAAGATCGGCACCCAGACACGGGACAGCAGCAGCTTCGCAACGACAACAACGCCCAGCACCCATTCCCAGTGTTCGTCCGGCCCGCTTCGGGAGGCTGGTGATGCAGCCTGGTGGCGCTTCGGCGGAGCCCTCCCTATGTCGGGAGCGCCCAATTCTGCTAAGCCTGTCGACCATGGCATCTATTGTGACAACCCACTCAATAGGTCAACGAGCACAGGCAATGGGGAGGGCCCCAGTTCACTGCACCCATCCATGTCTTCGGAGTAGTATCTTGGATGAGTGATCAATGGCAGATTCCGGCCGGTGAGCAGAGACCCAGTTTCCCACCTCCTGCTTCCCCTCTTCTGTTCCGGATGTAGAAGCTGACTCTGTTTTTTGTGTCTACCTATAGTACGTTGAAGATATTAGCAAGAGGCTATATTATCTACACATGAGTGTTTTTTTTTGTTTTTCGAGAAACAAATTTACCTAGTCTCTCTGGCCCGTTTAATTTTAACCTTCTTCTATCTACCAAGGTTACACTTTCTGCCAATATAAACCCCTTTCTGCATATGGTGGTGGGTCGGGATGGCCCCTTTTTGGTGGTTAAATACGAGAAAAGGTAATAGTTCAGGACAATAATACACCATACCTCTGCCAAGGTTTCGACTACGGATACCTGAAGCGTGTAGAAGAGTCAATGCTACGCTGACCCGATGTGCTACGTACTGTCCTGTCAAGAATCTAGCCTGCCATGCCCCGGCGATCCCCCATGGTGCCCTGTTCCCTCCCTCATCCCCCGAAATAAATCCACACACACACATTTCTCCCCCCCCTCACCGATACCGTCCTGTCTGGATTTCTAATGATTACCCCTACGGGTAAATGACACTCGATCATCGGCGCCCGCGCTGATCATGAACCTTAGGTTACAGTCAGGGTCTGATCTGAACATCCTCGTCCAGCATGTTGTCATCGCCGTGGTCCCTGAGACGTCTCAGACCCTCAGTTGGCGTTCGATCCCCATCGCCACAGAGCCGATCTGTGATGGATTATTCCAGTGATGATTGCATCAACACTCAGAATGTGTATTGTACTCCAAGATGAATAGAGCCCTAAGGGATTCGTACCCAGAAAGAACTTTCAGTATGCAGCAGATTGCAGATCTCCCCTGACTAGCTCAAACACATCCCCGACCCTCAAAACCAAAGGTAATAAGGCAAAGACAAATCTTATCCATAGTCGACCTCGCCCGTGGTTTTGATGATCCCGGTCAACTTCTACATTCGCTCCGGAACGTGCAACCAAGGCTCTCTCAGATGAGAACTCCCTCCCGATGATCACCGGGTCGATGATGAGCCCACGAACATGGCCCAGCACGCAGACAGGCCTCGCGGGGGATTGTCCGATGCCCTTGCCCTGCAAAGTAACCTCTGATCGTCAGCTCGAAAGTATACCTCGATTGCCTGACACTAAGCGTAATCTCTTGTCATCTCACTGGGACAGGTGCGTTGGCGCCGCTCACTCCCAGATGGAGAGGAATAACCATGCCATGTAGACTTTGCTCCATGCGGATATGACACCTCATATCTGCTGGAGAGCGCGCGCTCAATCAGAAGATGCACACTTCGTATACCAATATGCATACCCCAGCCTCGCGCAAGGTCCGCTGAGTGGTCCAGTACAAACCCATGACCTTAGCCCAAAAGCGTCTCGCTTGCTTCCGCCAAAGAAGCAAAGTGATGTACCGTGGCAGGGTCTCCTCCGGGCATAGAAGACGCGATGCGACGGCAACGCCCATTTAGACATTTGGAAAGCAAGAAGCAAAAAAAACTTCAAAGGGAATTCTGACAGAGTGCACTGCGGGCTGTTCTGGAAAGGTGTTTGTGACACCTGGAGAACCGCCTTGCACTGATCACAGCCAGGGGGGTCGCATATCGTTGGGTTTGGCTGTACATACTCATTCCGGTGAATGGATTAAAAGGGCAGATGGACAGTAGGGGTTGTGCCAGTGGAACAAGGATACGTGCCTCCCCGAGTCCTCCTTCACACCCCAGTAACCGTTGGCTTCTAGACCGATGACCGTTGAGCACTTCCTCCGGTCGGTGCCACATCCAAAATAGTTATTGACGCACTGCTTCCCCGTCACCACCCCCGGTCTGTCACGTTCCTGCTCGTACCCCCCTTCCTCCTGCTGTCGATCTTCCCAATAATCGCCAAATGAACATTGGTCAGAAATGCACGCAGCATCCTGGGTACCACTTACAGGCCTAGGCAGCGCCTCAGCTCGGGACAACGAGACAGCGGTACCAGGGACATGCATCCCCATCAGATTTCCCAGCGACCAATTGCCCGAGCTGGTGGCGGCTAAAGTTGGCGCATCCTTCTCATTTAGAAAGCCTTCCAGGAGCAGTTAGTTTTAATGAGATGGCGGCGTAAATCCATCCCGCAGAGAGTAGCTTGATTCGTCTCCTCCCACGCCTTCAACTCCCTGGGTGTATTCACAGTAGTAGTGGACGTAGATGACGCATTTGCTTTTGAACAATGGCAGCGTCACATCCTAGGCCATGGAAAACGGGGGCCAGCGTGTGTAAGTAAGCTGGTGCTTACAGTAAGTAGCTGGTGCCAATATGGTTAGCTAGGAACTTTTGGGGCTTGGTATTGTGTCTTCCTCTGGTCTCTGTTAACAAGTATTCCCGTGGTAAAATATTGATATTACCGCTGCAAGATCCAGTTGATCCATCAGAGAAATTTTCGGGAAAGCCAAAGAGTTGCGCCTTCTTGGGCTGATCGAGCTATGGGCGGGCTATCTGGTGAAGGGGGCATCCTTGCGCTTGGATGGAGAAAGCGAAAAGGTGGCCTGATCATCATGTGGACGACCAGATCTATCGATTCGACACCTGTGACCGAAACAGTGTCTGCCTGATAGCATCGACGTACAATAGGCAGGGACAAGGGATGTTCAAGCGTCGGCCTTGAGGGAGATCGAATATGACGCATGCAAGAACTGTCAAGAACTGTAGGTCGCCGTTTTTGGCCATCACCACCAGGGTAGTCCTTGCATGCTGCCGACGGAGGATGGTGGTGTTTTAGCCATTCCACCTACTCCGGTGAGTCCAGCTGTGGGCATTGCAACATGGCCAAAGCAGGTATTGTTACACCTCAGCAGACGCGGCTATAAAATCTAGATCGCAATTCCCCGGGTTGCCATACCATAGGAGGCCAGGGGTGTCTTTGGGGTTCCTTGGCAAGCCTTGAGAAAAGAGAGCGCACAGCGCATTGGTAGCTGCCTGCGTACTGCGCATGTATGCAACGCCAATCATCAGTGAAGTTCCACAGAGCGTGCGTGCATGACTTGAAGGGGGAGGATTATACAAACGTGTGGCTATCGCGCAACTGGAAATTTGTGGAATCTGCCAATTTCTAGAAAAAAGCCAGAATATGACAATAAGTCGTTCATGCCTGCAATATTACAGTCTTGTGTTCCTGAGATCGCACAAGAATGCGATTGTGTCCCCAGAACAGACATGGACATGGTCTCGAGGAGGGGTGACAGCGGTCTCCTTGCCAGCAGGATGTAAGAATCTAGCACAACCGTAATGGGCACGGTAACATGGGCCCTGTATAGCACTATAAAATAATGCTTAAGATTGAGTTGGGGCTCAAGGAGAATGCCGAGTGTCAGATAGGTATCCGTGCTATGTCGGCGATTCATGCCTTTGAAGATTAGGGGGGCAGCATGACTATGTGGCGCGACATAGCATTCGGTCTATAACAAATAGCTTAATCAGAAGCTATGTCACCGGGCTCAAGCCTGGCGATTCAGCACGGTCGTCTTCGAAAGCTAAACAATGGCGGCGCTCCCCGGCTGGTGACATTGAGAAGGAAGGAGGCTGGCTGACTGATGATAATTTGTTCGTAGTCGAAGGCTCGAGCCATAGAACTGTGATGGTTAGTAAGATTGAGAACGGTAGTGGACAGACGGCTTGTGCCCAGACACCCCTCTAGCCTGGCTCAGGATCAAAATCAAAACGGCACTTACCCAGACTGGCAATCATCTCGTGGTAGTGGGGGGACACAGCAGCAAGCCACAAGTCTGCTCGGTATTAAGGACGGGGATTACTAAGTAAGCTCAGCCGGGGCCTTTCTGTGCCAAAAGAGAGCAAACCCTCCGTCCCCAGAGAAGGGTGAGCGCTCAGGGTCCTGGCCTCAAAATCTGGCCTGGTTTTGGATCCTTGGATCTCCCCTCCAGCGGCACCCGCAGACGAGGGTAATATTTCGCGCGGGCGCATGCACTCAGCCAAGAGTTTGCCATGCACACACAAGGAAAATGCAGCTGAGGTAGCGGGTCGCCGAGCTCAGAACTGGCAAGTCTATCAGGCCCAGCCAAGCCCTGGAGGGAAGTGTGGCATGATGCGATGGGGGCGAGGCGGATGGAGGGAGGGTGGCTGCAGGAATTTGCGGCGCTTCCACTGGCCGGAATACGCACTCCTGATCATCCACATCTCGCGTGGTCCAATCCGTGGGGCGAGATGGGGCCAACCCTGGGCAGATCGTCGCGGCCATTGGAGATCACAGGAGGCAGTCCCGCTGCCTTTTCCGCACTGCTGGAATTTTCCTTTCCCGTCCAAAAGCTAGCTAGATCGTGTGGCTGGTCAGCTCAAGCCCCGGCAATGGGACACGTACGTACCCAGTGGCCGGCCGCCTCTGATCAAACCAAATCACATTGCATACCTAGCCAAGAGGGCGGGCAGTCAGCCGTTGCTCAATCCAATTGCCTGCTGCTGCTGTACTGTAGGTATGACAGCTGCAAATGCAAGATGCAGCAGGATTCATACTCAATAAGGTCACCTACCTAGGCCAGAGCCAATCTATCTTCCGCGATTGGACAATCTGAGGAGGGGATGCAACGCATGTAACCCAATGTTATGCAGCTCACCCGCCACCCGCCACCCCTTGTGCTTGATTTGATTCAGTCGCACCAACCAGCCTGCGTAGTGGCTTGCTTTATTAATTAGGCTGCGCACAGCAAGTCCGTAGATAGTCTTTTCGGACTGTCGCCGGGTACTAAGTTTGATGATGGTTTTTTCCGACGGGGGTTTGTGTTTTCCCTCGACCTCTTTTCTTCTCGTCCGGGGAGGGGTGTTTCTTACCTTGCCGCTTTGTGGGCATAATACGGTGTCTTAGTTCGGTGAGCCTGGCCAGACCAATCCCCAATTTAGTAGGTCTCCGAGAATCTGAGATGACTCGTGGTCACACCGTACAAGGTTGTTTTTGCTTCCGGCACA